TATCTGATACAACACGGCGTTTTCCCATAAAACAAGTATCAAAGATTTTTCTGATAAGTAACGCAGCACTGACTATATTGATGGCTTTCGACGCAACGGAACGACGTGGGAGAATAGGTCTCGGTAGACTGGTTCGAGCTCCTAGTGGAAAGGAACTTATCATTCCAATAAAGCTAAAGTGTCTCTCTGCCAAATGCCAAAGTCTAACAACTGTCCGATGAACCAACCGTAAGCTTGTCACTCTGGTCGTGAAGATAGACAGCTAATTTGTTACCGCAGCGACAATGTAACCCAAATTTCACAACATCTATTGCAAAGTCACCATATCGTCTTGTCCCTGTCCGAGAGCCCAACAACGTGGCCTGAAGTCATGACCCAGGTCGGCCTACCTTCCGAGATTGTATAGGTAATGGGCCGAAACAATCGTCGACGAGGAATCTTTCTACTGATGAACAGCGGACTACTGCTATGCATGCTCCCATGTGGAGTTCTCTTTTTTTTTTTTTTATATTGGGAAACTCGATTGCAGTGAAGTAGAAACTTCGACTAAGACTATTTAACCCTGACCTGTCTTTTGATAGCAGATATCCGTTGGATAAACTTTAAATCCCAAAATTGTCATATGGACGTAAAGCAGTTGTTGTTGTTTTTGTTTCCGTTTGGTTTGTTAGTGGGAAATTTTGGCTTCATGCTATCAAGGCTCCACATAAGGATAATTTCACTAGATTGCTTGAATTATGTAGCCCCGATGCCAATCCAAATGTGCGTATACATACAAAATTATTCATGGTGTTTCAGTTGTCAATTTGGTCTGGGTAGGCGTCTATTTGCCCGCTCATTTGCACATTCAGTGGCGAATTTTAGAGTGCATAGCGGGGAAAGGGGGGGGGGGGTATGTTTTATTTGAAACAATGAAATATTAGACTTACCTCCCAGAACCGTCTTTGTTTGTTTGTTTGTTTTAGTATCCAGAAGCCATGAGTTGTTAACCCTTAGGCTCCGTATTATGGATATCGCAACCTTTCGGCCTTGATTCCATTGTAAATGCGGTAAATCTGGGAGAAAATGTGGCTTTCCTGCCTACCCCCGGGATTGAACCCGGACCACAAGGAGTACGTCACCCGGTCTCCGCAAAATCCGGTTTAGCCAATTCCGCTAGAGAGCCGGGCAGAACCGTCTTTACAGTATATAGGCCCCTAGCGAAACCGGTGTCATGGGTCTCATACGACAGCCACTCATATAAACGAAATCTAAATGGTGGATAATATTAAACGTATACACAGATCAGCATCAAGCCCTTTGCTTGCGGGGCGCAATGTTAACACATAAGTTGAAGCTATGATAGCGTGCTGGTTAGTCACTGGCCTACCAACCCGAAAGTCTTGTGATCTATCCTGCGAAGAAAGTTATTTTTTAATTGACCTGAGCTCACAGGTAGACCAGCTCTAAAATATGTTACGGGAAATAACATGTAAATTAAACATGGCTGGTATTACGTTGAGTACCTCACTCATTTGGTGTCGTCAGTCTAGTCTATATATATTTTAAAATCCAAATCCAAATATGGTTCTAACAAATATCTGTCCCATGTCCAGGGCCGGATTAAGACTCTTTGATGTCCTAAGCAATTAAAAGATTTTAGTGCGCCCCTCCCCCCCCCTTTTTTTTTCTTCAACCCGTCTAAACAGCATTAGAGGCCCCTGGGCAACCCAGTGTGCTGGGGCCCCTACGACAACCACCTGCTGGAATGAAATGTCAATGGTCACACACAGACTAATAGAGGTCCCCTATACCCATGTGTTAAGGCGGAACTGGTGCCCCCATATAAATAAGTAATTCCAGCTATGAACAGTAATAAACCATAAGGTAAAATATTTGTTTATTGAAATTAAACAAACATAACAGTAACAATGTTTATTTTTGTATCCTTCCACTTTATTTATTTCTGTAAATTTTCCTCCTATATATATATATTTTTTTAATTGCAGGCTTTGATCGGATCCTCGAAGTAATCACATCTGCTTCTATACTTAGTAGAGATCAAGCATCCAATCTGTTCTGTTGTATTGTTCTGTTCGGACTTTTTAATATACTGAAACCGAGAAAATAAACATTCAGCTCCAAGACTATTGAAAATTGCTGTGGTGCCCCCTCCCTTTGTGGTGCCTTAAACACATGCTTAGTGGCCTTCTTGGTTAATCCGGCCCTGCCGATGGACCAGTAGTGTTGGGGAAAATCCGTTATTGTTGTTAGTTCTTTGTAAATACCCAGAATCGGGGAGGGGGGGAGTCAAGTGTACCGCTTTTTTCCTTCCAAAGACTGTAGGCCCGTTAGGGCTTTTAGATTACGCTATAATTGGTACCAGGCAATGCTCTAAAAAGTAAAGATGGTGGGGAAAAAAGCCAGTCTCCTCCACGGTGCGATTCTCTACCGTTGTCTGAAAGCCAGGAAAACGGTCCTCATGAAGTCACAAATGTAACCCATATGTCCCTCGGGGATCCCTGCGGCACGTCGAATTCCGCAGCAGTGTAAATTCTTCAAACCGATTCGAGCAATTCTATTTTATTGACAGATTTTATCATCGTGACAAAGATAGTCCTCCACAGAGATTTAAAAAATAAAAGACAGTTGAAATAGGTCTTCTGCATTAAAAGCCATGCCCCCTTTCAAAACGTATATGTGTGTGTGTGTGAAGAGGGGGTGGGTTAAAAACATTAGCAATAACTAGACGCTAACCTCTTGGTCAGAAAATCTTGGATTCATCTTCTCTCTGAGGCGGGGCAGGTCGACAGTAATGCGTATAGGTACCGTGTGTTGCAGTAAATAAGACCGGGTCTGTTTGTTTTCCACAAGATGGATTAGGGTTCAGTTTTAAGTGTATCTTCCATTTATTCAAGTAAACATATATATATATTTATTTAAGTAAGCATATATGTATTTATTTAAGTAGAAACATATACATTTATTCAAGTAAACACATATATATTTATTTAAGTATACACATGTTTGTTTATTCAAATATACACATATATATTTATTTAAGTATACATATATTTTTTCAAGTAGATACATATACATTTATTCAAGTAGATACATATACATTTATTTAAGCAGACACATACATTTATTCAAGTGAATTCCAATATGTCTATTCTGAAACAGACATAGTGAATTCTTCTGGAGCCACTTGAAAATCAGTACGTTCGTTGTACATTTCAACGCCACTGTGGTTGACAATCTTGGTGGTTTATGTTTGGGATAGAACTTATATTACGACCATACTGCTGTAGCTCATGTTTGGTGTTAGATGCTATTTTCGGGGGGAACGCAGCTGAAAGCAGCAAGAGTTGGACAAACATCGGCCTGTCAGAGCGCGCAAATAGGATATAAAGATCATCATTGCTGCCAACCTTTAATGTGGAAGCGTCACTTTAGTAACTGAACACAACCTGTATTTCCCCAGACACTTCCAACATACGGCTTCCCCCAGCACCTGTACCAAGAAGACTACGTCGATAATGAAGGCAGCACTTCTATCACCTTTACACTGCCGGAGAAAGTCGGAGTCCTGGCATCAGCTCTCAAGATTTTTGAGGTAACCTCTTCTTGCGCTGACTCATTATACCTCAACTAGTTTTTGAAATAACTCACTATTTCCCAACCAGTTTTTAAAATAATTATTAAGTTAATGTTAATTCTTGCAAAAATTCCTTATATTCTACCTAAGCATCATCAACATGTACCCTGCCAACTGGCATAGGCGCTCATGCATCTCCACAGATCACGATCCCTGGTTGCCTGAAACAGCTCTCTTGATGATATCCCTCTATGCCATCGTTTCAACCCATCCAGCATCATCTCTTGTTCTCCCTCTACCTCTTTATCCACTGATCTTTCCAGTTGTCACTATGTTCTCCAGTGTCTCTCTTCTCATTATATAGCCAAAGAACAGTGTTTGTGTTTTTCTTATTGTTGTATATATTGGTCTACTTTCATTAGCTTCTTTCAAGCAATCCTTGTTAGTTACTCTGGCCGTCCAAGGTATTTGTAACATTAGTCTCAGAAACCAAATGTCTGTTTCTAATGTTTACATTAATTCATATTGTCTTCTTCCTTTTTCATTTTCTTCTTTTTCCATTTCCTTTTGCTGCTTCTGCTTCTTCTTCTCCTTCTTTACATTTACCGGCTGTAAACTCTGGCGAAAAGTTCTGGTTTTTCCTCCAGATCTAGACTTCTGTCTTTCTCTAGGACATTTAGTTTTTGCATGTACATCTGTTTCAAAGATCTGTTTTATGTGTGTGCAGATTTTGGTTCCCGCCTCTCAGGCAAGTGCACCTAGACATCACTGGAAACACTCTTAACTAGTTGCTTCCTACCATATTCTTGTTGGGGATGGGAAGAGGGGGGGGGGGGGGGGGGGGGTGTGGGGTGCAGTGAATTTATTCTTTTTTTTTTTTTCCAAAAAAATATTGTGGACCCAGAACCCTCATGGAGAAGCATTTATCTCCAATTACTGAACAGCTTAATATAGTTCTGATTTAAGAAACAGCTACCTCCAGTTATTGAACAGCTTAATAAGGATCTGGTTTGAGAAGCAGCTAACTCCAGTTACTGAACAGCTTAATAAAGTTCTGATTTAAAATACAGCTACCTCCAGTTACTGAACAGCCTAATATAGTTTTGATTTAAAAAACCGTTACCTCCAGTTACTGAACAGCTTAATATAGTTCTGATTTTAAAAACAGCTACCTCCAGTTACTGAACAGCCTAATATAGTTCTAATTTAAAAAACAGCTACCTCCAGTTACTGAACAGCTCAATATAGTTCTGGTTTAAAAAACAGCTACCTTCAGTTACTGAACAGCCTAATATAGTTCTGATTTAAAAAACAGCTACCTCCAGTTACTGAACAGCCTAATATAGTTCTGGTTTAAAAAACAGCTACCTCCAGTTACTGAACAGCTCAATATAGTTCTGGTTTAAAAAAACAGCTAGCTCCAGTTACTGAATAGCTCAATATAGTTCTGGTTTTTAAAAAATGCTACCTCCAGTTACTGAACAGCTTAATATAGTTCTGGTTTAAAAAACTGCTACCCCCAGTTACTGAACAGCTTAATATAGTTCTTATTTAAAAAAACAATTACCTCCCGTTACTGAACAGCCTAATATAGTTCTGGTTTAAAAAGTAACTACCTCCTATTTCTGACCACAATAATATATTTCTGGTTTCAACAGCAACACGGAGTGAACCTGCACCACATTGAGTCACGACCTGCCCGCCATGACCACAAGCACTTTGAGTTCTTCATCGCCTGTGACAACCAAACAGGGGGATTGAAGGTAAAGTGCAGTTTCTGATCTGTTTATGGCTTTTCATTTTCCTTGACTCATAATAATTTTTATTATGATCACCATCATCATTAACATCTGTATTTGCCATTAAGCTATCTGAGAAGACACATTTTGCTGTCCAGCACTCGATGTTTAGCATTTGCTTTCGCCATTCCATGTGGTGTATCATCATCAGACGTTTATAAAACTGAACGTTTAAGAGAAAAAGGTTATGACTGCCAAGTTTACCATCTGCCAAGTTAACAGTAGCTTCAAACTATTAACTTAATTTATTGGATGAACTGGTAACAGGGATACGATCTCGAGGCTTTCCAATTCTGCACTACAAGGATCTGTGCAAAGGCAATGCAAAAGATTTCAACAATGACACAAACTCTTGGGAAAATCAGCTGCATTTGGAGGCAGACGGTGAAAGCTGGACTGTCACAGTCTGAAAGAAACCAAACGTGGCAAGCTATAGAGAGGAGACCTCTGATAGAAAACAAGCTTCAGAATGATAGAGTATCAACACTTTGTGTGTGTGGACTATGTGGCAGACTGCCGCTCCCGCATTAGACTTTACAGTCAAAGCAAACGCTGTTCCCCACGCCTCCGGCACAACTCAATGTTCCCAGGGACTCAGGTGAAAGATGAGACATATAAACAATCAGACAGTTATTGGCACAATCGGAATTGGAACTGTTTGCTTGCTGCTGAAGATGGGGACTGAGCACTTATGGGAGTGTCCCAGGTACTGTGATGTTGATTCCTAATTTAACATTCTTGTGGTTGCCTATTAATTGATTTGTTGATTTTTCAAGAATTTACATCAGAAAGTCCCTGTGTGGGTTCAGGGACCCTGTTATAGGGAAAACAAGAATAGACCCACTGGCTACTCATAAACATGTTGTAAGAGTCGTCTAATTTGAAGCTTTCTTCGAAGTCAGAGTGCATCTGCCTGAGAGGCAAGGAACCAGCTGTCTGCATACAAATGAGTCAGATCTGTAAAACGGATGCACATACAACTCAGATTCTGGAACAGGACTACAGTCTAGAATCGGAAGAACAACCAGAACTTTCCTTCAGAGTTTACAGCTGGTGAACGCAAAGAAAAAGAAAAAGAAGAAGACATCAGAAAACACCAGGCGTACCCAAAGATATTCTGTCATCAGCAGCAAATATGAAAGGTCATTGCTAATCATTTTGGTAGTACACTGTTCAAATAAGGAAGACGTACACAATAGATTGCACAGTTTGCCTGGTATTTGTCTCTGTTCGCAAACACATAGTAGTGTTTGTGGATTACATCCCTGGTGTAACTCCATAGTCAAACATTCTTACACTGTTTATTTTCATTTAACATTGTGTCTTCAGACAGCATTTGTTCACAAGCAGACACCAGAATGTTTATTATCCCCAGTCATCTTCTTCATCTTTGCGTTCACCAGCTTTAAACTCTGGCGGAAAGGTCTTGTTGTTTATCCACTTCTGGGCTGCAGTCCTGTTACACAACATGGGAGTGTTGTGTGTGCATCTGTTTCACAGATCTTACTCATTTGTATGCAGACTGCTGGTTCCTTGCCTCTCAGGCAGATGCACTCCGACTTCAAAGAAAATTCCCAGTCATTATCTAGTACCTGTGGCCTATTCCTATTTCTAAGAATTCCAGAGAAATTTGACTAAAAAGCTCAACAAAATGGGAAAAAGGAAAACGTGCACAAAACAACACAACGTAACGTTTCGGCCAGGCAGCCTTTTTTCAAACACAAGTGGACTAACACAAAGAGTAATGGAGAGTATGTAGATCTCTAAGGGGGACGTGAGCGACGTTTAAAAAAATGTGATGCGGAATAAAGATGAAATAAAAAAAATAAACGATGGCTAAAAAATATAGTCACAATACTGGGAATAAAAGAAATGCAGTGTTAATGATACATAATGATATTGACAANGAAGGTAACTATACTAGACATGCAATTCTGAACTAAGATTGACAACCACTGTGGTAGTAGAATAGTATGATTTGAAGGCTTCTTTACCTGTGCAGTACTGCAGGCCACACAGGGTTGGTGTTATGATAAACAAGTGCCCTAATTACTAACTTCTTTTGTAACTGGAGGCTATGGAGGGAAACAAACTCAAAATCCTGGATGGTCCAGGTTGCAAAGCTTATCAACAGTCTCTGCAATGTTGAAGAGATTAGCCGAGAAGAAGAATTGGTTAAAGTCCCAAAGGGGCAGCCAAGAGTTGCACAGGGTGGTACTTACTCTGGGATGGTAATGTGGGAAATGGGTTGCAGGACATGCAGATGCATAGGTTCAAAGCTGAGAGAGGCCAATTCTAAGCCAGGAGATGTGATTATATACATAGATGGGTCAGTGGCTAGGAGAATAAAGAGTAGATTGGGGCTTCATTGCAAAAGCATGGGGGAGAAGAAAGACAGGAGAATTTAGCATACAGCATTACCACATCCATCATTAGAATAACCTTGAGGCAGTAACTGTAATGTTCCAGTAGGTGGATAAAATCTCAGCCACACATATTGTCATAGCACTGGACTCACAAAGAATGTTTTCTTCATATGGAATAGGTCACATCAATCGAGAGGTCATAGTTGGTGAGAGTCACACAAATATTTTGTCAGGGCTGTGCAGGCATGATTTGGAATGAGCAGGCAGTTAGATATCTCAGCTGGATTGGCCCCACTTGGGGGTGTACTGCAGCTGCACAAGGCAGACGTGATCTCTAACATGTGGGGCAAGATAACAAGTAAAATGGAAGATACTGAAAACCCGTATCTGGAGAGAATTTTGCTTTTCGGAGTGCCTACGGGTTCTGGGTTCCCCTCAAGACTTGGAGAAAAGGCAAGACGAGTATTTAACCAGATGACATGAGTACTGTCAGTAGGGAGAATCTTTGCTGACTGTTCAGAAGGAAGCCGGAGCTACTGTGGACTTGTCTTAAATGCCATGGTGTTGAATCTTTAAACAGATGACCCAGATGACAGAGACATAACTAGAGATGCAGTACATGTCAGTGGAAATAGTACATTACTACAGTATCAAGAGGATCATCTTTGCACCATCCCTTCCCCACTAATCAAAGCTGTTTTTCAGGGGCTCACACTACCAAACACCAAGTCACCATACCCAAAAATGTTGAAAGTTCAAGCCTAATCTTCCAGTGGATTAACAATCACTCAACAGACCATTAATTGTTTGTAAATAAAAACAGAAACTTACATTTGTCTCATCTAAACAAAGTTGATTGCACGTTGTGTGTACTTTATGCATTATGCCTACTGTGTGCTAACAGTAAATACATGAATTCCACTTTCTCTTTAACAGTTCCATGGTTTCCAAGAAGAATTAAAGAACTAGACAGATTTGCTAATCAGATCCTGAGCTACGGTTCAGAGCTGGATTCCGATCACCCAGTAAGTACAATTACCAGCTGCCTGACTGTTTTACCCTCCTTCGGGAAATTGACAGGTCCCCAGTAGAAATGTGCCTCGTCACTGATGTTTTCTTTTAGTTGGTGACCCATACAGTGACAGTGAATGTGACTAACAAGAGTCGCTTGGTTTGAGAAAAATCTTCCACATTCAGTGCCTGGAATTTCTGTACCACTGTTGCCATCATGTGAATCTCATGTGCTTCTCCTCAGGTGCTCAGCCCCTAACCTGCCAAAAATCATCTTTTCCTTTGTCCTCATTCCCTTACCCATTGCACTTCTCCTTGCAAAGTGATGCATGGCTTCCTGTTCTCATAAAATCCCCTTTGAATTCTCTGTCATTCAAGTGCTTTTCGTATAGAAGAATATTTATACTGACTAACTCTTATTATGAAAACACACCGAGGTGGAAGAGCTGGCAAGAGACCAAGTTTTTTTTAAGGCACACCGTGACGGGAGGAGCAACATTCTGCAACGAACCTGCTACATGATGATGATAAATTCTTATTTTGACATTTCCTACACACCTCTGTTCATTCTTTTGTCATTTGTTCTTTTTTTTTTTGTTAACCTTATAAGTAAAGAAGAGTAGAAGGCCCTTGTGGTGCCATTGTAACGTCAAGCAGATAGTGCCAGACCTATATTTGTATAGTCTAATCAGCACTTGATGGAAGAGGTGGATCAGCACCATGCTGGCTGCTTTTTCACTCCAGGACCTTGTACCCATTTTAGTCAGGTTCACTTGGGTGTCTTCCCCCAAAAAGCCACTAAGATTTGAACCCTTGATCTACTGACCAGCAAGTGAGTGGCTAACCACTATGCTAGCACAGTTCTATTTTTCACCATGTAGTCACGGGTATATATTATTTTTAATTAAATCTGAAATATTGTATGTTCGTACACTTGCAGGGCTTCACTGATCCTGTTTACAGAGAGAGGAGGAAGGAATTTGCTGATATTGCTTTTCATTACAAGCAGTAAGTACCGCACTTCATTTCCAGCTTTTTCTCCAAGAAAAAAAAAGATGCCAGTACTCAGTAAGAAGTCTCTAAAAAAAGATGCTGGTACACCAGCAAGTGTCTGTTACAGTAGCTGAAAAAAATATATGTCTATAATAGTTACACTAGATGAAAAATAATTAAAAAGGTGTCGGTACGGCATATCATTGTGTACCGCCAGAAGAAAAAAGCCATGAGATGTCCTTGTTGATATATTCATGTTAGCTTTTTAATGGTTATCGACTCAAATCCACAGGTTCTGCAGAGAATAGGAATGACAAGTGAGTTTCTGAAAGTAATTTAAAGAAGAGATTATTAAAATTCTTCATTTATATTAAAAGTCATAATGTTCCTTTAAAAATCTTGCTGGAGGGAAAAATTGAAGGCAAGAGAGCAAAAAGAGAGAGAGAGCAATACAAGTGAGGGAACAACATCAAGAGATGGACAAACAGCAGTCTGAGAGCGACTACAACCAAGGCAAGAGAAAAGATGTGCTGGAGATCCATTGCAGCCAGCCTTAATTGTGAAGGTGGCACCTGGCTGATGTAACTTTTGTCACTGTTACTTATCTGTTGTTGTTAGTGTTTTCATAGTTGTTGATCTGTTACTGTTAGTACTGTCAGAGCTGTTGATCTAATTATTGTTGGTTCTTCTTAGCTGTTGATCTGTTGCTGTTGGTTCTTTCAGTTGTAGAACAATTTACTGTTGGTTCTTTAAATGTCTCTGTCTCAGCCCTTTTTAACTCTAACTCTTATCTTACTGAAGCAGCTGTTACTTAAATAATGCATCTATAAATATTATGGAGTTGAAATTAAGTTTTAGTTGCAAACTAAGTTATCGGCTTAATTACTCATGCATCTCATTATCAACACAGTGTTCAGAGAGTATTTACTCATACATACACATGATTATTTCAACCAGCTAAGTATTTGATTTCAAAATTCTGCAGACAGCCAAAATGTCTAAAGACAACTTATCAAGAAGATCAGAAGGAGAGAGACGTACTTTGTTTGTACATGTTGTGAGAAGAGGGAAGCTGGAATTTGTGACCAGTGGAAAGATCTGTAAAATGGAGGGGTGTCGGCATATGAGCTAATGAATGCTGTTGGAGATCAAAGGTTATGGAGTGGCATGATCAACCACACTAGTCGCCAAGGCACTTGATGATGATGATGTATTTGACTTGTGTGGATACAGTAAAATCAATGATCCCAGATTTGTTTAGTCTTAACTAACCAGTTTATCAACATTTCTAGAGTTGTATTAGCGAAATAGTTGAGGGGAAATTTTTAGCATGAATAATTTATACATTGGTTTCATAATTCTGTTTTTTTTCCCTCATGACATGGGTCCATTAATCTAAATCTTGCACTTGTTTGCTGTTTTTTCTCTTCTGGCATCTTAGAATTAGTTGTATATTTTATGCTGAGGTTTTTCTGACATCACTACATTTATCCTACTTTGCTAATTTTTTTCTGGCATTGCTATATTACTTCTGTCGTTACATATTTTTCGGACATCACTAATTTGATCTAATGTTTGTATACTGATTTTTTTTAAACATCTCTACAATAGTTGTATGCTTTATGTGCGGCTGTGTGGCTTAAAGGTTACGGAAATTATTTTACAGTGCAAACCTTTGACGTTTATCAGGGTTTCATACCCACAGTAGCTGCCTTATAAAAAGACCATGTCATATGGCTTTTAGACATTGGTACAAGAGTCACACCTTGGAAGAGATTGGGGACCTCTTAGGACCACTGTTTCCATAGTTAACATTGAGTAGATTGTAGGAAACCACAATTGTGAAGACAGCACAGTTGTTTTATACTTTGTATTGACATTTTTCTTACATTACTACATTGGTATTAACCTTGAATACTGAAAATGTTTCCAGCCTAGCAATACAGATCTAAATGTGTGCCAATCAATGTTCTGTTTCATTATAGTGGACAGCCAATTCCACAAGTGGAATATACAGCAGCCGAGAGAAGAACTTGGTAAGGAAAACTACAGCACAATACATTAGTAATTAAACAATTTTACTTTTGCAATTTTTTTGTTGCAGAAAAATAATATTGTTATATTTGTGTAACTTTTGATTGTACATTAGAATTGAAACTTTGCTGGTTGCTAAAGATATGAGCTGAGTGACTTTTGTTAGGTCCTGAATGCTCTGATGTCAGTTCTTAACTTCATTCATTACACGTAACTCCATAATTTTAAAAAGAAAAAATAATATTTAAGCTTATTTATGGGTGCCTGCACAGAATAGAGGGAATTAAATGGTATGATAGAATAAGTAATGCAGAGCTTTGGGAGAGAACTAAACAGGCTCTAGTGGACCAAGAGGTGAGGAAAAGACGCTGGCGTTGGATAGGAAACACACTGAGAAAACAGGAGAACAGCATAACTAAAATGTCTTTGCATTGGAACCCACAGGGGTATAGGAATAAAGGAAGGCCAAAAAACACATGGAGAAGAGAGCTGGAGAATGAAGTTAGAAAGATGGGGAGAGCTCCATGTAATGGCGAAGGATAGAACGACTTGGTGTGAGTTGGTTGAGGGCCTATGCTCCAAATGGGGGATAGAAAGGCAGAAAAAAGAGAAGATATTTATGGGTTGAGTGTAGCAGATATTAGTATTGCTTCTGCCTTGAACAGGACAAGTAGTGATTAAAGTTTAGATCACCTTAGATTATTTTTAAAATCTAAATGTATTGAGGCATGAAAATAACTCGCTTATCACAAACATCAGAAAGAAGCAGTCACCATTATTGCTAACTCTTGAGATGGGGAAAATTGAAACATATGACAAATGAAGAGACTTATGGAAACATAGATAAGGGAAGACAGTGAATTAAAATCCTGGTACCTTTTCATCATAGCATGAATCAGTTCGCAGGATGTGGAGAAGTATCAGACCCACACCAGTTGGCTAGGTACTTAATGACGATGATGTGGCTACAAAAAGCAATATAGGTGAGGAAAGGGGAATTGGCGGAGGGGGAGATTGTTTAAAAAAAATTTATATGACACTGAAAAGAAAATTACCTCAAGCTGTCAATTTCCTCAGAGGGCAGTATTTTTTTTAAAGACCATTTTTATGTTTTTTGGACAGTAGTGAGAGAGGAGCGCCTGGCGACCAAGTGATTACAAATCAGACTCTCATGCAGGAGACTCGGTTCGACCCCCAGTGAGGTGATGAAGTTTTTCTGACAGAGGGAAAATTAAACATTCTAACCTGCACAGCCCATGGCGACAGCACTAGCCCTACGGCCCTAAATACTGACGCTCATAATCCCCCTGTCTACACCACTCTATAAAAGTGGTAAAACAGACACTAGTGAAAGGTGTTGTTGTTTATTTTTTTTAACAGTGAGAGAGTTGCACCGTGGAAAAGATGGGGCTTTACATGTTATATTCCGAAACAGAATAGTGGATGCACCATATAAACTTTCATGGAATGTGATACAGAATATTTATCCATCCAACACTGTATGCCCATTGCACCCTTATCCTAAAAAGGGTCCTTGATTTTACCTAGCCTAAACTGAGTACCTAAACATTCCTAGTCAAAATCACCACATCGCCCACTGTGTGCTGACTGGTCTAAAAATATGGATACAACAATATATACCTTCTTCTTCTTTGTTACTTCCTATTTTACTGCTTCTGATGTCGAGAGAGATATAATGTTTTGCTTCTTGGTTTTCTGACTGACTCGACCATAACACAAATAGTGCTTTTGTAGAGTTTTTCTGACGTGGTTGTCTTTCCATCTTATTCTTGGTCTACCGCATGCTCTACATCCTCCTTCTCTTTGTATGCCTTATATGGTATGACATCTAAGTGCTGACTTGTTCTCTCAAGTCCTTGACTTTAGCTAGCCTAAACTGAGTACCTGAGAATTCCTGGTGGTATTCACCCCATCACCCACTGTTTGCTGACTGATCTATACAAATATGGATACAACACCATATGTTTGATTCACTAATAATCGTACTTCTTCTTCATGACATTCATCGGATGTAAAAAGTTCCGGCTGTGCATCCACTTCTGGACTTTAGTTTTGTTCCAGATCTTGAGTTTCATACGGACATCCATTTTTTACAGATATGACTTACCTGTATGCAGACTGTTGGTTCCTTGCCTCTCAGGCAGATGCACTCCGCCTTCAAAGGAATCATCAATAATTAGAAAAGGGTTCTTAAGTTTGTGTGTGTGTGTGTGTGCATGCGTGTGCACATTGTCATAGAAAAATATCTTTTTTTTCTTCTCCTACAAAGGGGGACAATCTTCAGAGAACTAGTCAAACTGTATCCCACCCATGCATGCCGTGAGTTCAATCATGTATTCCCGCTGCTGGTTGAAAACTGTGGGTTCAGGGAAGACAACATTCCTCAGTTGCAAGACATCTCCGATTTCCTGAAAGGTAAGCTATTGAAAGATGGAAGTAATGGTAGAAGTATGAACTGTTACGCATACTTGGTCATAGTGAGATGTGGTCAGCCTAGCCTACAGGCAAGATCAAAAGTTAAGGCAACATTTACATTTGGAAAGGACATTTTATTCAGGTCACTGTACATGCAAGCTAGCCCCAAAGTGGAACAAGAAAAGTTGGCAGCCAATAAGATGACCCTTGCTGGCCGTTTAGAACTTCATGCAAGATGTCTGCCCTTGCTCCATATGGCACGTCATAATTATACCGCCCTTCAGTCTGCTTGAACTTAAATAGTTAGGGGTTTCAGAGCAGGATAAACCCCAGGCAGGCAGTGTGCAGAATCTACTGGCCTTTGTAAATCTCCACCTCACTCCTCTGAGATTGTTGCCTTGAGGTTACACACACTCTGATTCTAAAAGCATTTTTTAGATGTCAGTTCAATAAGAACAAATCCTAGATACCCTGTTTCATCATCATCATCAACTGCCTTGCCAACTAGCATTGGGGATCTTGCCTTTCAATAATATGCAAAATAGCAACTGTGTGTATCAATTTGTGTGTTGACGCCCTTCCATGTCATTACGAAAGGCTGTCAAAAATCGTCTAGCATTGTCTTCCTTTGTCTCTCTGTCCACAGATATTTCTAGTGGTCACAAATGTTCCAGTTTTCTTCTTCCTATAACATGTCCAAAAATATGATGACTGTTTCTTTCTGTTTGTGTGCAGCCATATGAAGCAGGTGTATTGGGGCGTCCTATGGTTACATAGTAACCTGCTGTTATTTGTGAGCAGGGTTTTTGGTTTCTAAACATTTTTAACCCATTGGGGCATTATACATTCTCTGGCTCTCCTAAATCATCAGTTACATGATTAAGCAGTTAAAATGCTAAAAGTAGAGATAGTAGCAGAAGTTGAAATATTTTGGTCATATCAAGTGCCATGGCAGATTTGAAAAAAATAATAGCGGAGGGCATGGTACCAGGAAGGAGGGGCAGGGGCTGACCAACCTGAAGATAGGCACAGGATATAAGTGACTTCCTTGAATATGAAAGTACATGAAGCAGGAGAGCTGGTGAGAGACCGAGTTTTTTTCAGGCAGACCAAGATGAGAGTGACATTCTACAAAGGACCTGCTGTATGATGACAGACAGTTGGCTAGAAAATCGTCTGCCTAGACTGGAGTGCTTGTTAATTTGTAACCATAGTGATGCCCTTAAATAACTATGTTATATGGTCGAACAAAGTTACGAGAGTCGGCTTCTTTTGGATTCTCATTTGAATAATGGTAAAAGGGAAGGCAAAAAGATTATTACTCATTACGGTATAAAATGGAACCAGTACTAAACTACATCATGAGAGAACAGGTCAAATGGTTTGGACGTGGATCAAGACTACCATCAGAGAGTGCACCATAGAGAGCCAAGTTACTTAGACATAATGAAAGCAGAACTAGAGGTTGACCATGTAGGTGATAGACAGATGGAATATCCAAGGCTGTGAATACCTGCATCTATGTAGAGCTACCAAGATTTATATCTGATGCCTGGCACTGAAAGGCAGAACCAAACTAGAGAAGAAAAAAAAGAGTGTTGAGTCAAGAATTGACATCACAGTACTAGGGGCATTCCCATGCATTCTCCGTCCTCATCTTCAGCAGCCAGCGCAGAGTTCCATAACTGATGGTACCGGTCACAGTCTGGTTACATGTCCAGCTTGCCATTCCTGTGAGTGTAGTGAGCCGACCAGACCCTCTTGTTACAGGTGCCTCATTCTCTCCAGGCCATAATAATCTTGTTTCTCTACTGATTCCTTTGCTTGTTCCCAAAGGGCCTTGACCACATCTGCCTTGTCATGTATAAGTTCACCACCCAGTGGTACAGATCCAGCCATTCTGTATGCCTGTTAATTACCCACTTCGCCGGCATGGCCTGGAGAAAAGTTCCAAAGTATGCTCACTACCTGTGACCTATCTAATGAAGCTTGCCAAGAAGACAGTGTAAAATATGCCTAAGCCCATAAGAATTATTATAGTTCTTATCCATGTTATACATTGCCAATGAATGCACAGTTCGTGTAGGACGCAGAAAATAAAATCCCATTTGTAGGTTGACCACAAGAGAAATATAAACTATAAACTAAGCACTTCACCATGTGAAAATATTTTCCTTCCTGGAGATTACCTTTATTTTGGTTTACACAATATTCATGCATACTTACAGACTGTACTGGATTCACCCTGAGACCGGTAGCTGGTCTGTTATCTTCGCGAGACTTTCTTGCTGGGCTTGCCTTCAGGGTGTTCCACTCCACGCAGTACATAAGACATGCCTCGAAGCCCAATTACACACCTGAGCCGTGAGTATTACAGATTCACTCAGTTAGAGTGTCAATATGAGTATATTTATTTGTTTTCTGTTTTAACAGACCTTACTTCTGTAAGACATGCTGATTGAAAGAAAGGATTTCCATGTGGATTTTGGGGCCCAATTTGGGGAGGGAAGACAGACCCATAACCCCCTTACAAACATATCATTAAAGGCGACAATCAGTGTTTTTGCCCCTCAAAGTTGGGTTGTATCTGCCTGAGAGATGAGGAACCAACAGTTTGCACACAAGTCAGCTAAATCTGAAATAAGGATGTGCATGCACAATTCAAGTTCTAGAAAAAGACTTAAGTCCAAAAGCCAGAGCTTTATGCCAGAGTTTTATGCCAGAGTTTACAGCTGGTGAACTCAACAAAAAGATTTTTTTTTAAAGAGTGGTAATGTACAAAGCCTACTTGAAAAACAAAACTTGATGAGAGTATATTAAGCCTATTAACAAAAGATCCTTATTAAAGCTATCGACCAGAAGGAAATTTATATCTGAAATAGTAGAAATGGACACAGCTCAGATCTATTGGGTTGCTACATTGCTGTTGGTACCTATCTGTCTTTCCAGACGATAATGCTGTATTGTACTAAAGGGAATCGTAGTACATGGTGATAACAAGTAAGATTTAATCATGCTGAGAAAAGTCTTCCACAATCAGAGCATGAGATTTCAAGATCATTGTTGTCATTGAATGTATTTAATATGCTTTTTTTTTTCTTCAGGCTCTTAGCTCTCAATTTATCTGTAATCATTCTCTCCTTTATTGCCACACTCTCATTGATCTCCGCTCTATGCCACATGGTCTATGACATTCTGTTCCCACAGATCGAGCTCAATATCTGTATCATCGATGCTTCGCTTGCACACATCTTTGTGTCATAGTAGTAAACATCTTCTGCCTATCTATAATTCATCTTCAGGGATGGCCTTAGGAATTCTACCATCCTCCAAATGTGACCTAGTCACCTGAGCCTTTGGAGACTGAGCTTTGAGACTAATACCTGCTCTTTCCAATATCTCAGCGTTTGTTCTTGCCACTTAATGGCAGATATTCTCCTTAGGCACTGCATGTGAAATATTTTTTAACCAATTTTTGTGGTACAAATAAGCAACAGATTAACTTTTTTCAGGTTGCTAGAAGTGTAATAAAAAAAATTGCAGAAGGCACTTTGGAATGAAAGTTGTTTAGGACAAACTGAAAATGATCAAGGAAACTGTGTCATGTAAAGTATCGCAAACATCCTAACACCATTTCAGATTACTGATACTATGGTCCATGTTTTCCTCAGGTGTGGCCCCTCTCCCAACCCCTCCTCTCAAAGTCATATATCCATCTTTTTGGCTGCCCTCTCGTCTTTAGCTGTTCAGAAAAATCCCTGGCCAATGTGGGAAAGAAAGAATAAATGTTAAAGAAACAAAACTACAATTTGAAATTTATCTTCAGGGACGTTTGCCATGAGCTTCTGGGTCATGTCCCCTTGTTCGCAGACAACTCGTTTGCTCAGTTCTCCCAGGAGATTGGACTTGCTAGTCTCGGGGCACCAGATGATATTATTAAGAAATTAGCCACAGTGAGTTGTTTGTCTATGAAAGTGTTAGTTGAAAGTATATATGTCTATGAAAGTGTTAGTTGAAAGTATACTATTGCTTCTTTTTATACTTGGTTTTCTTATTATGATTATTGTTCTACTTTTTCTGCTTCTTCCTTCTTTCTTCTCCCTCTTCTCTTCCCTCCTTTTTACTGCAATATTATTGTACAGATTAATATTAAATTATTTTTAAAGCCCAATTTGAAATAAAATTAACATTTTGTATTGCACACAGATTTCCATTAAATATTTTAATGTCTGATTAAATTAATTTTAATTTACACATCATCTACATACAGAAGTCTCACATATAGTTTAAGGTAGCTCTGTGCTTAATTTACAGTACAGTGAATACTTTCAACTGAGGAGTGATTAATGTCAAATGTAATAATCATAAAGTATTTTAATATAAAGGATATTTTGAATTGCAGATATTAAAGTCAAATGTACAGCTGTACCCTACAGTTGAAAATATATGACCTTATTAAATTAAATACTGAGAATGGTCTTGGGTATATATTATGCTTACTAAATATTAAAATATGCAATGGAGATAGAATTGTAAATATGCAATGGAGATTATTATGGAGGTCATGGCAGTGACCAAAGCAATGACCTGGCTGGAGTCACAAACCTTTTCCCATGCTTGCTTTCTCAGTGACTCAATGAGTATGCACAGGAAGATGACAAGGGCTGGGTCCTAAGACAGTGGTTGGAGTGTCTAAAGTGATCCGGGTTGACAAATATCAGTTTCATATTTGTGCCAGGGCATGCAGGCGTGCAAGGAAATGAACAAGCTGATCGGCTTGCAGGTAAAGCTACTGTGGAGGGCAACAAGCTATGAACCATGCTGACATTCTGAATGATCTACCAGAAGTAAGGCGTTTGTGAGAACCATGTGATGACAATGAATCTGCAACCAGACCAGACTACAAGAACAACATGTTGAAAGGGGTGTGGCCAGACAAGAGCATTATGCAGGAAGCTAAAGAAGAATAGGAAACCAATACAGAACTGGTTTCATGAGCCGCTACACACTGCCTGATTTACTAAGTTAGGGATCTGAACACCTGAATGGTTCGACGTGGAATGAGGATAATCTGTCGACTAACTAACTAAGGCAAGAGTATGTGTCTAATTTTATACGAAAATGCCGCTGGAACTATGTCGGCCACGCCCTTAGAATGGATAAATCAAGACTTCCTTACCAAGCCCTCATTTGGACACCACAGGGGAAAAGATCTCGTGGAAGACCAAGGGAAACTCTACGTAGAACTATCATCAGGGAAGGCTCGCTCATGGGCCACTCAAACATCCAAGACAACAGATTGCAACGAACCGCCATGCATGGAGAGTCATGACCTCTGCCCTATGTGCCACACTCGACACAAGAGGAAAGACTAACTAACTAACTAACTAACTAAAATATGTGATTAAATTAGGTTAAAAGTGTTCCAAGCCACTTTATTCAGCAAAGTTCAACTTTCCATCTTATATTAGCTGTATTGGTTTACTGTGGAGTTTGGACTCTGCCGACAAGATGGACAACTAAAAGCATTTGGTGCTGGACTTCTCTCTTCATTTGGTGAATTGCAGGTACTAATTTCTTTGTATTCATAAGCTTAGTCGCCATTCTGATATTCAGCAGTTTTGCTAATTTGGAAATATTCTAATTTATATTTTCTTCCAATATGGTGGTCGTCTGCTGCTCATTTCTTTGATGTTTAATTCTTCAGTGACCAAGTATCTAAATGTCTGATCATTGCCTTCTTCTACTTCTTCTTCAGAACCCATTACAGAGCACACCCACACAGGACTGCAGGTTACTTGGTAACCGTTTCGTGGTGCCCCAGTTTAACCATGCTGTTATGATTGTATGGGTTAACAGGGTTTCCATGATTTGCAAATGCAAAACTGGAGTGGACTTGAGAAAAAAAAATTATTTGTCTTCTTCTTCTGCAACATTCTGAGTACTTAAGATTCATTGATGCACATATCATCGACCTCAATGGTTGATGTCACACGGGTGAGCCTCTTCCTCCCCCCATTTTGCATAGAGATCAACCATGAACCCCAACTATGAATACATGTTTGTTTTTTTCTTCACATATTTGTTTATTCATTTCATGATTTTTTTTCCCCCAAAAAATATTATTATATTTATTTGTCATTTGCAAAAAATAGTAATTATTATTGCACACTTGAACTAGGCATAAGCCCCCTAGAGCCCCACACACCCTAGGGCCAAGTTGCCCCCCTTCTCTTTTCCCCAATGGTTTCTTTGTGGTGGCTCTCCTGGTGTCATTTATTATAAACAGGGTACTACTGACAGCACACTGCAGAGTCTAACATAGGAACTTGCTATGTTCTCAACAAAGGCAGAAACTCACCAGCAATGGATTCCATCTCACTGTAGCATCAAAGGCAGGCTATGGAAGCTCTGATGCTTTAGCCAAGGAAGGCAACAGCAAACAGCAAATATACCAACCACTATCTTTTCCAGAAGTCGAAACCTTCATTAAGAGAAAATCAGAAACAGGTTGAAAAACCAACACAGGTTATCACCATGAAAAATGTTTCCTTAAACACCTAAATTGTTGAATAGACCAAGTCACAGTTTTTCGTTCACGGACTGGACACGGCAGACTTAACGAACACTCATGTAAACTTAGGTATGACCCAGACAGTTCTCTGCCAGTGTCTTCATGATGAACAGACTCCAGAACATGTCTTGCAAGACTTCTCTTTTGGCGGAGCTACGAAGCAACATATGGCCACACTCAGTAGACCTGACAACTAAGCTTTGGGGAAACCTAAGATACCTTAAGATGACATCCCAATTTATGGCCCACAGTGGATTATGTGCATGACCAGAGATCGCTGAAGAAGAAGATAAACAATGTATTCATTTAGGTGAAAATGTGTAAAGCACAAAGAATAAAGTAACATGATTGATTGATTTGATTCAAGAACCGACATCACAGCACCCGGGGCATTCCCATAAGCGCTCCGTCTCCATCTTCAGCAGCCAGCGAAGAGTTCCGATACTAATGGTGCCAGTAGCTATCTGATTAAATGTCCGTCTTGCCTTTCCTCTGAGCCTTGAGCTTCAGCCAGAACCTCTCGTCACCCCCAACTGCATCAATCTCACCAAACTGTGGTGATCCATCTGCTCCTCCGCATTGTACACGCTCTCCCACAAGGCACTAACCACATCTGCCCTATCATGTAGCAGTATTCCACCAAGTTGTGCAGAGCCAGCCAGTCTGTCCGCCTCTTCATTTCCCAACACACAGGCATGACCCGGTGAAAAAATCCAGACAATACTCCTCACTCATGTCCTCCGCAGCGAAGCATGCCACTCTGCACGAAGCATACCTGTTCTGATCTTCCTCAGCATGCTTTCTGAATCAGTTACAATTACAATGTGTGTGTGTGTCGTGTTCTCTAGCCAGCGGAAAGCTGCAGTGACCGCCTCCACCTCCATTCTTAAGCTGGATAATAAAGTAACATTTGAAACTGCTTTAATTTTCAGTACTGTCTCAGTGATAAGCCATCGATTCGACCTTTTGACCCCAACCAGACTTCAGTGCAAGAATATCCCATCACTTCTTTTCAGCCAGTCTACTATGTGGCCGACAGCTTTGATGATGCAAAAGCCAAATTAAGGTAACAATATCTTTAAAAAACTGTTCAAAAATCAGTTTAACACAGTAAATATTTGAAGATTTAAAAAGTCTTCAAGTGAATGAAAATAAATGTATGTACATCTGGTCTTAGCCAAAATGTCATCACCATCACCATCTTTTCCAAGCCACCTAGGCCCTTGATGTGGCCAAAATACTTCAGCTTTTAGGACAGGATGCTGTTTAGGAGCCAGTTCTCCTTGATGTTCAACTCGTTCAGAATGTCGATGTTTTTCCTCTTCTTTTTTACATGCAAACTTTTAAAACCTCACCACTTATGCAGTGCAATGTCGAAGGAAACACCCCTTAATTAGTCATCTTTTATCACCACTTACGCAGTGCAACGTTAAAGGGAACACCCCTTAATTAGTCATCTTTTATCAACACTTATGCAGTGCAACGTCGAAGGAAACACCCCTTTATTAGTCATCTTTTATCACCACTTACGCAATGCAACATTGAAGGGAACACCTCTAATTAGTCACTTTTTATGACCACTTACGTAGTGCAACGTTGAAGGGAACACCCCTTAATTAGTAACTTTTTATGATCACTTACACAATGCAACGTTGAAGGGAACACCCCTTAATTAGTCACTTTTTATGACCACTTACACAGTGCAACTTTGAAGGGAACACCCCTTTATTAGTCACTTTTTATGACATGCTTGCTATGGTAGCAGTGGGTCTGTTTGTTTTTCTCCCACGGTGGAGTCCCAGAACCCACACAGAGGAGACTCCTTTATGATTTGCTGGATTTTGCAATGACAAATTTCTGTAGGATGAGGTAGTCAGTCTAGCACCATATCTCTGCACTCGGCTCAGGCACCGTACATAAGCTGCAGTGCTACCATTAGTTGCTTTACTTTTGAGCCCCAGGAAGCCTATAATATTTGTTAAAAATGTATTTCTTTTAATTGTATTGTTTTAACTCTTTCAGTCCCAAGGAATGCATCATATGTTCCTACCTAGATGCCCATTGAAAACAAGATACACCCATTTTTATGTCTCTCTTTACCACCCCTTGGACATCTGCAGCTAACACCACCACCCTCCCCCTCCCCCGACTGAAAGAGTTAATCCTGTCATCACCCTAAGAAGGTTAACTCTTTGAGTCCCAGAGGGTTTAGCATCACAGGCCCAAGGGGTAGTCAAAAGAGACGTAATATCGGCGCATCCTGCGTTCATTGGGCTTCTAGGTTGTAACCTATGAACGTATGATGCGTTCATTGGGACTCAAAGAGTTAAATCTAGTCACCTCTGGTTGTGTCACAGACGACTAAAAGCCAATATATCACCATTTCTGCAGTGACCTGTTCACAGAAAGCATAGTTAAATACCACTGGTTTACTGCGCAACTCTGTAGAGTTTATGACACTCAGTTGTAAATATAATAATTAAATACAATATTTAGAGGGGTTTAATTATGAATCCAATAGCTTTGTTTAAAGCCAGATTAACTTTAAAATTTCCCGTAAGCCTCAGTGACCGTTCATGGCATGAGTCACCTGGTGTTTGTTTTAGACCCCTTAGAATGCATTCCACTTAATGCTTTACTTTGTTCTTGTTTATTGAAGATTTTTATATATCTTTACATATTTCAAAACAAAAAGTGCAGATAAAGAAATTGGTAAAAAATTGTTAGTTGTTTTTTTTTTTTTTAAAGGATTTTTTCCTCAAAATTCCAATGGGTTCATGACCCAGTTTTGTTAGTATTCACAAGGTGAAAGAGTACAAGCGAAATCAATCATTTAACTCATATGAAATCATAAACTAGGTTTTGCTGCTGTTTCAGACAATTTGCTGCCACCATTCCCCGGCCATTTAGTGTCCGGTACAATCCTTACACCCAGAGTGTGGAAGTTATCAACAGCAAGGAGCAGATAATTGATCTGAGCAAAGACATCAAAGGTGGGTCTTGGCTCATGTCTGTCATGCAGATATCATCATCAGTCCTCTTTATGCCTAGTGGCACAGCAGGGAAAGTCCTCTTCAGAGAGGACTTTCCCTGCTGTTATGCAGATATCCTGAGTTATTATTAGTTCTGCCAAGCGTGGCAGAGACCTTAAATACTATCTTGTGTGAAACAGATCTTAAATTTAGAATTTGTCACCCAGCACCAGTGTCACGGTACTCAGAGCATGCCTCGTTGTGCTCCACCTGCCTCAGAAGATGATGAGTAGTATAAAAACATGTATTGTGCATCACATTCCAGCTCAGCATTGAATTTGAATTCGATAGAAGGGAAGGAAAAATTTAACAATGTTCAACCTGCTATCATCACCTTCATCAAGTGCCTTGCCGACTGGTGTGGGCATTCATGCCTCTCCACAATATGCGACCTTCAACAAGAATCAGTTTGTGTGCTCACATTCATCTATGCCATGACAAAAGGCTGCCAAGAATCTTCTCTCATTTTCTTTCTCTTGTCTTTTTTTTCAACAGATCATAAAAGCAGTTGCAACATGTACCAGTTTCCTTCTTCCAAAAAATGATTACTTTCTCTTACTAATATTTATGATATTGTCCTATGTGTGTAGCCTCAGTTATAATTGTGGTCTATGGTTTGTGATCTTTCTTCTTAGATGAGTTTTTGTGCAGTAGAGAGGTCCTACCTTGTCGCCCCTTCATTGCCATTCATGTTGGTCAGTGTTTGTGCCACTCATGCTTCCACTGCTATGAAATATTGTTGCTCTGTTGTGAGTCCTGAAAATGACTCTTCCTTGTAAGAACTTGCCAGAGGTCTGCTGTCCATCACCTACCATTTGTCTGTCGGTTTTCCCTCTTTGGTTTAAACCTTTCCATGTTTTTTTTTTAAATCTTCAGTATTAGTTTTTAGTCTGTTGACAAAGTAATTCAAGAAAACTTCATATAAAACCTTAAAAGTGTAACAGAGATTACAATAACCATGCCATCATTTTGTAACCTGTCAGTCTTCTTGTTAAGGATGTCAAGAGCGGTATGCATGAGACATCACAGTACAAATTGACATAATGATGTCAAAATTACAGTTTAAAGATGGCTACCTCATGTCTGAAATGCACTAAAGAAGAGCAGTGTTCTTTTTTTTTTTATTTGACGCTCCCTCCCTCGTACATATGGTTGAAACATCATCAGCCTAGATCTAATCTCGTCCATTCTGTATGTTCTGAGTTGAATCACATGACCTAGAGATGCAACAATTGCTTCTTTATAGACATGAACTTGTTTCTGGGATTCTATGGGAGAATCAGAGCTCTGCAACATACAGGGTGTCTCATAAGTTTCTATACATAGGAGAACAGTTTGATGCTTGTCCTCCACTGCTGAAGAACACGTACAAGCACAGCTGGCATTATGCTCGTGTAATCACTTTGGTGATATGTTTATTTTTCCTGTGTATGGAAACCTCTGGGACACCTTGTAGATGATACTTTGGTAATAGGCAGGAAAGAGATTAGAGTTCCATGCACACAGGATTGCAGGTCACTTCATGTAGTCACAAGGTGTCCCAGTGTTAACAGTTTTCTAAAGTTGAACAAGGTGTCTGAGGTTTGTACCTGTTAGATTGGCATTCTTCTTCCTTTTCTTTACCAGCTGTAAACTTCAGCGGAGGTTCTGGTTGTGCATCCACTTTTAGACTTTGGTCTTCTATCAGAACTTGAGATTTGTGTGCACATCCATTTAACAAATCATGCTTATTTGTATGCAGACTCTTGGTTCCTTGCCTGTCAGGCATATGCACTCCAACTTCGAAGGAAACTCCCTTACTTAGTCGCCCTGTATGACATGCTTGTTAGGGAGGCAGTGGATCTATTCTTTTTTTTCCGTAGAAAATAGAAAGATTGCATTACAAAAATTGGTTGAATCATTACAGAAGTCCACTGTGCATGGAGTAACCTTTCTTTTTATTCCGGGTATGCAGGCATCGATGGAAATGAAAGAGCTGATAGGTTGGCTGGATCTGATATCACTACTGACGGTCAACCTAAGGATCATACTGATATTATTAATGACCTCCGAGAAATGGGAAGTGCGGAGGACTTTGAGGACAGTGAATCCACTCGCTAGAATCAATAGACTTGGGAGTTGAGTTTGGCATAGCAAAAAACGCCACACACACTAGAGGACTTGTTAATCAAGATATAACTGGTACTATTAGCGACCGGAAACTGGGATTTATACTGAGGGGAGGATCTGAGCACCTACGGACATGCCCTGCTGACTAACTAAATTGGTTCTTGAAAGTCATTGAGTGTCAAAACTTTAGGCTGCAGTCCCGGAGAAGGAATACAGGGGGAAAATTTTCAGATAAGGGGGCAGTAACTTATAAAATGCATGCTAACTGTGAGAGTTTACATGTTAGAAGTACAATATGTGATCTTCTGTGTTCACCCTCATAGAAAAAAAATGGTTTGTATATTGCCAGGCTGCAAAATCTGTCTTTTAGCCCAACAAATCTTATTTCAAAAATCCTAATTTAGTTTCCTTCAACAACATGATCGTTAAGGAGCAGTGGCTTTATTCTTTTTTCCTCAAAATGAGCCCGGCACAGGGAGGTATATTATTTTTTTCTAATGCATATTCTTTTTTTTTAACAGATCAAATAAAAAAAATTAATAGCTATAAATAAAAATATGGATGACTAAGGTTGGCGCACTGGATAACATTCCAATATTACTTTGGCACAACACTAATCTACCAAAAAGGTTTCCGTCTAAACCAACCCCCCGCTGATTGATACACCCCCTTTTCAGAGTTCAGATGACTCAAAAACCAAAGTTTCAAACTTAAAAAAAAAAAAGTTTAAACTCAAGTCTTTTAGATGATTCACAGACAATAAGTAAAAAATCTGACATGCTAATGTTACCAGCCAAGAAACTGATGTGGAAAATAAATTGATAGAGAAAATGAGGACAACCATGAAAAACCATAAGATGGATGTTGATGAAGGGGTCAAGGACGCTGGACTAGATTGCAACCATGATTTCAACAAATGTTGCATAGGAGAACAGAATAGAATAATACACTTTGAGCCCTGTGTAACAGGTAAACAGTGCTGCATGAAGATGATGAAGCTAACATCCATGACAGTTTTACAGACTGACATGTCCATATTATAAAAGTTTACAATAATGTCACATCGTTATGTTCAAACTTTGGCTTCCGTTTCCCAGAATTGATGGTGTTTATGAACTGATTGTTTCTTTGGTTACATCTTTTAGAATGTCAGTAATGTTTTTTGTATTTTATTTATTCAAGTTACTTTTAGAATTTTCTTTCACTAGCATCTGTTTAAAGCTGCAGTTTCCATTGCAATGGAACTACAATTTTTATTGACTGCATTATCCACCACAACTCATATCCTTATGTTGCTGCAGGAAAGACGCATATTCTCCATTTTTTTTTTTATTGGGTTCAATTTGCTGTCAGTCTATCATTACTGTCTGTGTTTATCACTTCTCTTTTCTGTCAGAGCCTATCTGTGTTTATCGCTTTCCTTTGTTGTCAGAGTCTGTGTTTATCACTTTTCTTTGCTGTCAGAGTCTGTCTGTCATTACTGTCTGTGTTTATCACTTTTCTTTGCTGTCAGAGTCTGTCTGTCATGACTGCGTATTTATCACTTTTGCAGTATTGTCTGCAGGTTTGGGGATTTGGGGTCTTTGAACCTGAGGATTTAAGACTGCATGGCTAGTGCTGTCACCACAAACTATGCAGGTTATGATATTATTCTTGTCCCTGGCAAAAAAAAACTCATAACCTTTACCAAGGTTTCAAACATGGATCTCCCATATAACAGCCTGGCATTCTCAACCATTCAGCCAGCCACTCGTCTCTTTCAGTCTACCAATTTTATTTTATTCATTTATTATTTTGCACATGTACAGCAACTGGTATTTCATTTGTCACTTCTGTTTCAGGTGACTTATCCCTGCTGCAAGATGCCCTGGCTAAAATTGGATCTTAAGTCTCAACTTACTGGCACTTGTTAATTGATACATTTTGTTATTTTGAAGTATTTCTTCATGTCAATGTTTATGATTTAATTATATGTGGATGTGGTGATTCTCTACTCTTTAACTAGACTAACGGTGCGCACAGCAATGAATTGTGGATATATAAATATAAAAGATATAAGTTCAAAGCGACCATGACATAAAGCTACTTCTGAAGCAAATGTTGGTGTAATAATATGCTGCCTACATAAATGAAATAAGTTTAAATATTGTAAAATTATTGAAAATATAAACAGTAGGGAAAATGTTAGGAAGAAAATGACATGCACAGCACACACACACACACATGAGAGATAGAAACAGACAGAATAAACCAGAAAGTTACAGTGACAAGCCTTCATCAGCACACAACAGCAAATCACAAATCAAAGATAAAAATGATACTAAACTTTTAGAACACTGACATAATAAAGCTAGGCAAATATAAAAATGTAAACAAAATTAATAAGCAGAATGAAGTGACCAATGAGGTAACTCAGCAACTCCAAAGATGAAAAAAGGGAAACTAAAATGGAATCTGCAAGATTTAGGCAAACTGAGAAAGTGAAGCAGACAGACTTCCTTCCAAGTCCCACTGTTTATATCTAGTGCTCGGAAAATTTACAGCTCATTTGACCTAATTCAGGAGCCAATGTGGTTTAGTGGCTAAATGCTCGCCTACAGATGTGAAAGTCACGGGTTCAGGTCTTGGCGGAGATAGATTCTTTTCTTCTTAAAAAAATGAAACTGGATCACAGGTTGACCCAGCCTTAAATGTGTACGAGTTAAAGTCCTGGGAAGTAAAGGTGGTGGTGGTGGCTGCATGATGTTGAGCTCATCACCCACGGAGTGCCAGTTGGTCTATAAAATATAGGTCTAGCCCCATAATGCCCAACACGCCTGAAGGTATGGCCTTCAAGGTCCTTTATTTTACTTTTTCACCATATTCTCATTTGAGATGGGTAATTTTTACAAGTTTGATCTGGCCTTAAAAACTGACACATCAGTGATTGTTTCACCCTTCAGTTACCATCCGATTGGTCTACAGAGAATAAGTCACTGGAAAACTCAAACAGCAACCTGATATGAGAATTAAAAAAAGCACTTCATTTCAAAGAGAGCTACACTCTACTTCTTTCATAAGAAATGAAACCACAGCATGTAACAGAGAGCTGAACCTCTGATATTTATTGCTGTAGGTAGTCAGGTTACCACTCCTCTGAATGAATTTAACAATAGGTATTGTTCCAGTTGTTTTTCTAATCTCTTCACTTGTTATGTGATCTTCTCTGCTTTTGTTTGTAGCCTTTCTCAAACATTTCATTTAATAGATAGTTAATTTTTTTCCCCACTTATGGAACTATTATTCTTCATGTTTACCAGCTCTAAACTCCAGCAGAAAATTTTAGTTCCTTGTCCGTTTCTGGACTGTAATCTTGTTCCAGGGTTTGACTTTTCTTGTGCACATTAGCTTCACAGATCTGGTTTAATCAAATGCAAACTGTTGGTTCCTCGCCCCTCAGGCAGAGGCACCCCCTGAATTTAGAGATAATCCTTTATTAGTTGACTTTTACAACATGCTTGTTGGGGGGAGGGGGGAGTGTCTTACCTCCCCCCCCCCCCCCCTTCCACACAGGAATCATAACCAGATTATTGTTTCACTTGGCAAGTGTACTTATTTGTATGCCATGAGAAAACATCAACAAAACTATAACTATATGGAAAACAATGCATGCTATTTATATTCACAATTCATAATCAACTTAAGTAATTTTTTGTTATGGTTTCAGATGTACAATAAAGGGTAAGGAAATAATCCCTCTTGTGTTTCCTATTATTTTTTGTTAGGTAATTTTTAGAGAAAACGTTCTTTCATCATGAGAAGGAGAAAACTGGTGTACATCATGATAGTTGGAAAGTTGGTGTGGAAAAGAGGCGGGGGGGCATGAAAGAAGGTAATGGACAGTCTGGCATGGACGATTGTCTGTGTCAGGATTCACTGAAAGTACATGAGATGAAAGTTGGGGGATAGGCAACACAACACAGTATAGACTAAGAATAAAATATTTCTTTGCTGTCATTTATTATCTCTTGTTTGGTTACCTTATTTGTGTGCAGAAGGCATTTAGCTGAGATATGTGAGATATTGTCCTGGACAATCGGGAGGCAGGCCAAACAATTTCTGGAGGCCTCGGAGATGTAGTTTTACAGGAGAATGCTTAGAATACCTTGGACAGCCAAAATGAGCAACCAAGAGGTTTTGAAAGAGGCAGGAGCCCGAAGACAACATCACAGACAACAGAAGGAGACAGTAATCATTTTTTGGCCATGTTATGAGAAGAGAGAAAATAGAACATGTGACCACTGGAAAGATATGTGGAAGGAGAGATAGAGGAAGACAACGAGAGAAGATGCTTGATAGTCTTGTTGCATGGCATGGAGGTGTGTCGGCACACGAACTGATACATGCTGCAGGAGATCGCAGATTATGGAGAGGCATGATCGCCCACACCAGTCGGCAAGGCACCTGATGATGATGTGTCGCTACAACAGTGTAGTAGCCACACTTACCTACTAGCTTTAAGGTCTTATGGTCGAACTTGCACCCAGGTGGATTTTTTTTTAACACAGAGTCATCTTGACGTTGGCCCAAACACTGCCAGGAAATGTCTCGTGAAGCTTAAGATGGATGGCATATATGTTGACCACATAATCCATTGAGTGCTGATTGGTCTAGCACAACTAGGTCGATGTGCAAATGGAATGAAAAATGCTTACATTTTTTAAAACTTTATTGATCTTGATTATTTGTGCTGTTTGCTAACTAGTCATTGGTCATTAGACAAGGTTTAAATTATGCTGCAGATTGGTTGCGCCATGACTGCTCCATTCATATGCCAAAGGAAAGCAAAATTCCCTCACTGTTCCATTTAAAAAACTACCAATCTTGTCAGTCCCAGCAAAATCTTGACGCTTGCACATGAAAAGTAAAAATTCATATGGCAGCTGTCAGATGTGCCAGCACTAATGGCCCCAAACCAGAACTGCAGCTCACTTTTGGCATAAATGGTTAATCGTAAACGCTGGTATTGCACCTGCAAAATTAGACGCTAATATGAACGTAATCCGCCGTCTGCCATTTTAGTTCAGTCAATAACATGCTGCGGGTACAACAGAAAAACTGTTCCACGTGAAATCCACAATATCACACCAAGCTGTGTAGCTGGGTGATTCCATCTTCGGCCTCCCAGTCCAAATATGGGGAATTTGCATCAGCAAACCTAGCTGTAAACAAATAACTTTTCAGATCACCAGCAATCAGCTGGCTGTCATTTTGGCAGGAAGTCAAGCTAGTTATTGAAGCTTAATTCTTCAATACTAGAAGGTTTTGCACCACATGCAAAACTGTAAGAAGGAATTCATGGGCAGGGGGAATTAATATATCAGCTCAAACAACGGTTGCCTGAGAGCAAATGAGTTTAAATGTCATGGGCAGGGGGAATTAATTTATCAGCTCAACCAATGGTTGCCTGAGAGCAAATGAGTTTAAATGTTTGCAGCTTCATGAAACAGGTGGAAATCAATTCTTGTATGATGACAGCACCTTTCCAGATGATAATGTTATATTGCGCTATAAGGAGGCATTGGACTCACAACTCACGGTGACGGTGAGTGTGACCAGCGAGACCCGTCCACGTTAAGAAAAGTCTTTCACGATTATAACATGGGATTTTTAGGACCATTGTCAACATTTGTGTTTAAACCTTTTTCTTCTCAGACGTTCAACTGTCTTCCTTTTTGCAATCATTTCTTCCTTCATTCTCATTCCCTTCCTGATGTGTCCCCTCCACACGACATGGTCCATGCCATTTTGTCCACAATGGCCACATTTTAGACTTTCCAAATTTGTGTACCAGTCTTTGGTAGTTTAAACATGGTCATTAACTATCATTACCCACCCATTTTGAACTTACATTAGTCGTCCTTGTGGGATGCAATTTTTCGTTATTTGAAGCCCCACCCTTGCTCTTGCCAGGGGCCGCAATATAGCTGGGCCACATTTGTGGCTATAATGGCTGGAAGGGGTTTCTGGGACCTCTCCACGGGTGATCCTCATCCGCATGGTGGCACATTGTGTCATCGGGTGTTTATTGCTTGTGTGATGTCCTGGTAGGGTACAAGCAAGCATTTTGAACATCATCCTTTTAACTTTTTATATGTGAAGTTGGCTGTGGTTTCCATGTGTTTGCACAAGTGCAATTAAAATGCACAGGCTTGATGTTTTCAAACAGAAGATAATAACCAAAAATGCCTAAGAGAAAAACTGACCCAGAGGTTCTAAGCTGATTCAATAAGTGATATAAAAAAGGAATGCATAAGATAAAACATAATAGAGGAATCAACTATGAATTCTGTGTGCGTACAAACAGTACAACAATGATACATTTAAAAACCTGTATCTCTCTTACACAAATTTATTAATAAGAGAATACAGAGACTATATTTATTGGTAATTTAATGTAATCAATATTTATCAAAAACTGTAGAAGTAATATCAAACATCTTTGAAAGGCAGTAACAATTTAGCACCTTTATTTATACATTATGGAATCAACATTTTAACATTTAAAAAAAAAAAAAAACAATGTAAATAAAGTTTGCTGTGTGGGAAATGCTTATTTTAGTAGACAATGACATCTCAAAGAATTTTTTTTAATGACATCTTAAAATGTATGGCCATGAAGGTGACAAGGAAGGGCTGGGACTTCTCGTTTACCCTTAAAAGCGTGTATGGCTCACTGTGTTTACAGCTAAGCTGCAGTATCTGCATCTTTTGGTACAGTAAACTCAATTTTGGCAAAGTATATATCATATTATAGTCTCAAAACCAATTATCGCTGGATCGCTGTGCTTTTTTAAGACTGCTGAGTGATTGAATGGCAAAATTTGTCATTAGTGCTATTCTGCTGTTTATGCAAAAACAATACTGTATTTTCATTTTTTTTTTATACAGTGGAATGAACTTAAGTTATAGAATGTTGCCAACAAAATAAAAGAATCAACAACAACAAAACAATTAGTAATCCCAAGTATTAATGGTTATTAATCATAGATACACATTTAAATGGTTATTTCTTGTTGCCTTCAAATACTTTGATCATACTGAGATAAGCTGCTGAGTTAAGAACTGCCATCATAACATTCAGGACATTCCTATAAGTGCTCCTTTCCCATCTTGGCTTTCTTCCGAGAGTCAGCCAGATCCCCAGATTCTTTCATCATTACAGCTTTTTAAAAAATATGAATTATAGTAATGAAGTTAATGCATTTTCGCTTCAAAATAGTACTGTAAAAAAGCACAATATATAAATGAACAAAGGAGCCAAAAACTGACGTCCCTGTACTCATGGCTTTCTGACATTTGCTGTGCCCCTTCCTCAGTAGCCAACACAGAGTTCTCATACTGATAGCGCCAGCTGTATCACGATTAACTTTACCACTATTACGGGAATGTCCTAATCTGCCACTAAACCGGTGTCCCTCAATGTCGGTACTTTGCGTACTACGTGAAAATAATGCGTCACATACTATAAATAACTAGCCAATCGTGGTCAGCCCTAGGTTTTCCCAGTCCAACAGGTGATGGATATTTTGGTTGATTTAGACTTTGAGGAGTCAAAATTTCGTGAAGAATACATTCCTAATTGAAGTGAAAGTCAGTGTAAACTCAGGTGATGAGGAGAATCTTGAAAATTATAGATTTAAAACTAGATCAATAGTAAGAGAAGGGGACGTGTCCCTCAAAAAGCAACATCTGGTACTCCCTTTGTGAAACAAGGCCACTGGCCGGAATTTTGGTGCTAGATGAAAGGTAAACCTATTTTCTACGTGTCTCCAAGTTTCAACTTATTCTAACCACTTGTTTGCATGTAACTAATATTTTTGTATATCATGTGGTTTTTTCGTGTTGATGCCTAGGAGCTCAGGTATAGGGGGCAGTTAGGTTCAGGGCCTCAGGTCTGGTAGGGTTAAACTATAGACAAGTTGGGAAAGTGACATTTATGGGGAACTGGGTCCAACTGGAAGTGTCTGCTTTTCTGGAGCAAAAGAGTTAACAGTCTTTTTTCCTGTGCACAGAAAACTGTCTAGACCCTCTGATGAATTAGTTTTTCAAGATAAGAATACTCTGTTCTGATGCACTGCCCACTTAATCCCAGAAAGCTTTTACCACATCCATTTCAACCTAGAGTATATTAATGTAAAGGACCCTGTTCCATGCCTTAAGGAGAACTGGGCATATATGGCACTTGATGGGTAATGTGGTCAGCATCACACCGGATGCCTTTAACTCTCATTATTTTACCTGCTACCCTCTTAAGATTTCGTCAACATGGGAGCCCAGATAATTTGTGAGGAGAAAAAAAAAAAGATGCTCAGGTGAGCATATGGCCACTACAAGACAGTGGCTCCATAAAGTATATTATGTACTTAAAATGTATAAATGCCATAAAAAATATATTATCTATGATAAAACATGACCAACATCAATTACAAAACTTGCTCAGGCACATAAGAGGATGGAATTTTGATTGCCTTGATGTAATATGTTAACATCAAAGCAAACCAACATGTCTTCAATGTCAGTGTTTACTGTTTATTCTTTAGCTCTTCAAATCTTTTACTTAGCTCGTCAAAATCAGTATCTCCAACTCTTCCCTGGGTATTGATTAAACCATTTTCTACAGCACTCCTAAAGCCTGGAAAACTATTTGTAGGCATGCCAGTCTCTCCTGAAAAATATTTATTTTAAATAAAAACATATTAAAGTCACATATGGTTTGACTAACAAAACTATGTAGCTACTCCATACTGCTAGTTTTAGACTGTAAAATGAAATCATTATTATGCAATGCTTAGTGAACCTGTTTCAGTTACCATATTTGGAACATGGAATTCCCTCTACTAGTTAAAGCTAGAGATACCTCTGAAAAATATGTGGCAAACACAAAATTTTCCAGTGCTAGCTGCTGACAAATTACTAAACTAAACTAATCACTTGACATGAAATATTGCAGACAAAGTTAAGTAATAATAATGCAGACTTTTTATTAGAATTATTCACCAGAAGAGATCAATAATGACAGATAAAAACAGAGGTGGTAAGATGATATGAAAACAATTCAAAAGCTTTAATTTTTCACCGCTGAACTTCCCATGTGGGTGTTGTAAAATATGTAAAAGCCTAAATGATCAATCGGAAAAGCACTTCACAGACCAACAGTAAGTAATATGTACTACAGAACTATTTTAACCTTCAATGTTTATGGCTTGAAAGAAACTGACTCACAAAAAGAACACCTACATCAGAAAGAGACAGTCTTCATTCTTTAGTCATGTGATGAGAAGGAGAAAATTAGAGTACATTGTGACAGCAGAAAAGTTAAAGAGAAGGAGAGGCAGAGGGAAACAGAGAAATTATGCTGATAAAGGATCATCTGTGTCAGAGTTGAGTGAAAATACATGAGACAGAAGGTTGTGGATAGGCTTAACTGCCAACGCCACATGGCATGGACTATAAGAAGTAGATTTATTACAGCTTTAACCCTATTGCACCAGGATAACTAAATCTAGCCACTTCCGGTGGTGAAACCGTGCCGTAACTGCTGATTTATACCCATTTCTTTGGTGACCTGTTCTTGAAAAGTGTAGTTATGGTTCCATGAATGCCTGCATAGTGTAGGAGGCCAGGATGTGAACATATTAACTAAATTTAGCTTTTTAGAGGTGCTTCCTTATAAATCCAATAGCTTTTTTTAAAGTGCCAAGTGATTTAAATTTCCCCGTAAGCCTCAGTGTTAGAGGTCACAGTATGTCACCACATATATATTTGTTTGAGGCCCTGGGTAATGCATTCCATTTAATGCTTCCCTCTGTTCTTGTTTACCGATTGCTACCTTTTTTTTTAAATCCCTATATTTCAAAACACAATTTTGTAAAACAAATTATCAGTTACCTGTGTAAAATAGTTGTTTTTTTAAGGATCTGGTGGGGGGAAAAAAGGGGGCGGAGGGGGTATTTTGGCAAAATGGTTAAATATAGTTCAATCAAATCAACCTATAATCAATAATTAATTAAAATATTTCAATATTTACGAGGGGAAGTCAGATAGTAAGTCACACACAAAAAAAAAGACTACAGACAACAATTGAAAACCATTAATTTTTACACACACATTATCAGTTTATTTTTCAACATAAGTTCCACTGACATTTATGCACCTGTCGCATTGTTTTATTAGTCCTCCCAAACCTGCTGCATAGAACTGCATGCTCTGTTTTCTAACAGGACGACCTAATTGGACTTTATCAACAATTTCAGAGCGTCCTTTAAATTATTTTTTTTCTGCCCAGCTATACACTGCTTTACGTGGTAAGCATTTGTCAGCATTAACAGGAAGCACTTCCTTATGAATGTCTTTTGTAGGCAGCCCTTCCCCCCCCCCCAATGCACAACAGCAAACTGTTCTTTAAGGGTACACTCCATAAGTTCAGTCACCATTTTTTTAATTCTGTGTTGTGAATGTTTATGTAACACCTAGCGCCACCTAACGAATGGAGGCATAAAGTTCGAAGTTGCTGTCATCTAATGACACCTTACAAAATCACCAACTACATTTTCCTTCCATCCCACAACCATTTGTGACTTACTTGTTGACTTCATATTTCCTGAGTAAACTAAACAGAACTGAGCTCTTCAGTAAAAGTTAAACTTCTATTACCATTTGTTATATATGGTGGTGGTGCAGATAATCCAAATGTACGAGCTGGCTTTGGTGGTGGATCACTATGGTCAAAGTGAGATGGAACGGGAGAACTTGCATATAATCCTGCATTGTTGGTCGTTGATAAATGATCGTAATGTCCATGAGACAATATGTTTGGTAATCCACTGTTTCCTTGTGATGCTGGAAATTTCTGTATAAAAAATAGAATTGTTAAAATGTTTAATCAGAGCAGTAAGAAACAATTGTAAACTTTTTTCAGGCAGCAATGACCCAAAAAAAAAATAATAATCTTCTGGCTTTTCAGAAATTATAACACTTCTGAGGTGATTCAGAAAGATCAACAATATTAAGTACTGTTAAAGAGTACTGCAGTTGGAAATAACTAAAAAAAATTACAAACTGAACTGTGAATCTTGCAGTTACTTATGTGTTCGAATTTTGAACATTAAAACAGCAACACAGCTAATTTAATATAGCCTCACCTCTCATAGTGAGCTGACTTGGTCTAGCGGCTAGACATTTTGCCTGTGGATCTGAAGGTCATGTGTTTGGGTCCTGACAGGAGCTGGACTTTTTTCAAAAATGACTTTTGCTAGTAGGTTGACCAAGCCTTGATGAGGTACCAGGTACAGTCCTAGAAGTAAAGGCAGCCGGCGTGATGCTGACCATATCACCCACCAAGCGCTGTATGGTCTATAAAATATAGGTCTAGCCCTATATACCCAATTTGCCTGAAGGCGTGGAAAAGGGTCCTTTACTTTAGTTACCTCTCATATTATCCACATACTTCAGAAATGTATTATTCCTGTAGTTTATTTGACTGGCACTTTTTCATCTTTCAAGGAGATAGTGTTATACTGCGCTATGAGGAGGCATGGGACACACATCCGAGTTTGACAGAACCTGCCCATATTTTAAGTCTTCCTCAATTATAGCATGGGATTTCATGGCCATTATTTACAACCTTAGTGTTTAGTCTGTTTCTTCTCAGACGCTCAGCTCTCATCCATTCTGCAATCATTTTTACGCGCGGCGTGGGAGAGACTCTCGGCAGTGGCAGTATAGTACCAGGAAGTCCGCAATTCGGCCGTGGCGGTATAGTCCCTGGGAGTCCGCAATTGCATCTGACTGAGGCCCTGTTAGGGTATATTTTCGGGTCCATTATTTGGAGGATAGCCAACTTTTGTAATACCTGCTCTTTCCAACACACCAGTGTTTGTAATCTTGTCCTGCCACTTAATACCAAGTATTCTTTTTAGGCATCACATTTATAATATCAAAATATTTCTGAAATGCATTATTCCTGTAAAGTTTTTTTTTAACTTAACATCTATACACACCAGCAAAGTATCAGGAAGAATCATGAATGATCTGTGACACTTACTGTTTGAGACACAGGCTTGGAAAGTGAGTCATAAATGCCCGGCTGAAGAATTCCTGTACCTCCATGAGGTCCACCTCCACTGTTACCTCCTCGATTCAGTGGATGAACATCTACTGTGTCTCCATGCAAGGCTGAAAGATCTGGCTGAAAAGGCACATTATATGTCTTGGCAATTTCTACCATGTAGTGCTCCACCAGAGCTTTAGGAGGGGCATGTACTGACAACTTGTGCATGATCTGCAGAAAAGAACTGTAATTGAACCACCGTGTTTAAGATAAACATTAAAATATACTAACAGTGAGTTCCGTAACATGTGCAAAGAATATTCTTGGATAAAATATACAAACATGGCCTCTCTGAATTATGTATCTTTAATCCTAATGTTATTTCACTTTTAATATACATACATCAGTGAAGTGGGCTAATATCTGCTAATGTTGTGAAAGAATTTTATTAATATATTTACAAATGTTAATAAATATATAAGTAAATCATAAATTACAATGAAAATAGTTAACCAAATCGCTCATCTATGTGTGTGTGCGTGTGGACATGCTACATCTGCTAAACACAAAGAAGAAACTGTCAAAAAAACCTGCAAATTACTGCCTCTATTATACCATTTTTGCAGTGTAGGCGGGACTTTGAGCCTGAGGATTTACTGTCGCATGGCTAGTGCTGTCGTCTTGACTGTGCAGGTGAGGATTTTATTTAGAAACGTTGTAACAACTAATAAATGCTGGAGTTAGATAAGTCTTGACAAAAGGTCACACAACTGGCCAGATAATATCATCATTCTTCAGCAGGTCCATTAAAGAACTTGGATCTTGTCAAGGCACGCCTGAAAGTCTCTCTCTCTCTCTCTCCACCCTTATGTGCTTTCATAGCCCATTCTCCAGCCTTATGTGCTTTCATAATCTATGCATCTCTGAATTTCTTGTATCCATGTTTGCTGAGGGGTGCCTCTGCATCATTTTCCAGAAACTGCATATATTACATTTTTAAAAAGTAAACTAAACAAAAAGCACTTTCTGATATAAACCAATTGTGCTGGTATACCTTTTCATTAACATTACTGCGTTTATTTGATGTACATTCATAAGCAAATTGCTGGCCATACTTTCTGGTAAAGTGCTTTGTGATAGACTTTAACTCTTGAATGTCCGCTTGAAGTCGTGGGGTAGCCCAAATGAGGCTTGCTATGGGCTCCTCCAAACTTGGATCCAGGTCTCTGAGAAACAAATCAATAATTACACAAGCTAAAAAAAACATAAAAAGTAAAAGGTTTCTGTTGTAAATTATTACTTAACAAAAAGTTATGTACAAAATACCATTTTTAGTCATCAAGTAAACAATTCTCACCTCAAAGTATTTCTGACCAGACAGAAACAATGTTACTTTAACCCCTTATCTCCTAAGTTTATTCTCAAAACAATACAAATAAAAGTTTTAAGCCTAGAGAAGTTTACAGCCTAACAACACTATTAGTCAGAAAGAGTCACATTAATAATTAAATTAGATTTAATTAAAATAGCTACAAATTGATGGGGAAACAAAGCAAAAGAAAAATTATTTAAAAAAACTGTTGAATGTTGAATTAAGTATCAATATTACAGTACTTTGGAGGACACTCCCATAAGCGCACTGTTCTGATTTTCAGCAGCAAGCGAACAGCTCCAATTCTTATGGCATCAGTAACTGTCTGACTGTATATCTGTCTCGCCTTTCCCTCGAGTACTGTGCGTCGGCCAGATTTTCAGCAGCAAGCGAACAGCTCCAATTCTGATGGCATCAGTAACTGTCTGACTGTATATCTGTCTCGCCTTTCCCTCGAGTACTGGACGTCGGAGAGATCTGGTCACTCCTTGCAGCACCATGCTCCTCAGAATGTAATGATCTATTTGTGCTTCCGTACTATCCACTTGCTCCTAAAGGACAATCACAACACCTAGCTTGTCATTCATCAATTCACCACCAAGTGGTGCAGAACCAGCCAGGCTTTCTGTCCCAGCACATTGGCATCACATGGAGAAAACATCCTTAGGATGCTAACTACCCGGGACCTCTGAAGCGATGCTTGCCACTCTGCACAGAGTGTGTGCCTATCTCCACCTTTCTCAGCATGCTTTGTGAGTCAATTACAATAACAACATGTGTATACAGCTGATTCTCAAGCCAGTGGAAGGCAGCAATGACTGCCTCCACCTCCAATATCAAACTAGACATCATATCAAATGCCAGGCTTTGCTGTACTGCTGCATTAGGCGGCATCAATTTCTTTTTCTATGAACAACCAAGCACATGGTCTGCCTCTCAACACAGAATCATCTGTATAGATAATCACATCACTTGGGCAAGAACTGTTATGAATCTTTTGTTTAACTTCTGATTCTGCAGCACCAGCTGGCCAGTCCAGGCATTAACAGCCTAAAGTGATTAAAGTAGCTACAATGCATGAAGCCCTAGGTAGAGGTAAGGTTCAGACTGAAAAGAGGAGGTCTTGAATGGCAGAAGTTGAAGACACACTTAGACCTGTGCAGGCTTGATGAATCTGGGTGAGAAGAAGTGGGTCAAAGTGTCCAGCAAGAATCAGTCTTGTGTAGAGAAAAACTTTAAAAGTCAAGTAAAGGTGTCTAATAATAAGACTATTCGTATTATTAAATTATGTCCACATCTCATGAATTTAAACCTGAAAAAATAATTAATATTCTTAATTCATAGAAATAAAATCCACAAAATTATATATTATGAGAACTGCCATTTCATTATGCTGATCATAATTATCAGTTCCCCGTGTGGGTTCTGGGGCCCTGTTATAGGGAAAACAAGAATAGACCTACTGCCTACCCAAAAGCATGTCGTAAGAGTCGACTAATTGGGAGCTTCCTTTAAAGTCCAAGTGCATCTGCCTGAGAGGCAAGGAACGAACAGTCTGCATACAAATTAGTCACATCTGTCAAACGGATGCACACACAATACTCGAGTTCTGGAACATGACTGCAGTAAAGTGGACGAACAACCAGAACTTTCCGCCAGAGTTTACAGCTGATGGAATGCAAAGAAGAAGAAGATAATTATTATCAGTTTGTAATCAAAACTATAGCCTAATTAATTACCTAATTAATGTGGACTTACTTCTGTGTCTGTATCAGTCCAAACCTTGCCAGCAAAAGATCACAGTGCATCTCTAACAACTCCATGGCCTCAACAAGATAGTCTTCTCTGATGATATGCTCCACTCGGATCCTTGCTCTGTCTTCTTTGCCGGCAGAAATGTAATCCGCTATTTCTTTACGTGCCTTCAGTGCCATTTCTGTTTTCTTCTTTTCCAACAGTTTTAATCTGTTGATAACTAGCCTTAGGTTTGTTTTCAGTTTAGTGTAGTTTGGTCCACTTTTGAACATGGTAAATATTATTCAATTGACAACGCTTACAGTAAGTTGATATATGTGTTTAATTTTACTAATTATTTTATCTGATTGTCTTGAGATTGTGCCAACTTATTTAAACCCAAACTTTGTTTAGTTGACTTTGTTGACGTTATTTATCGTGCAATTTACTTTGTTTTTAACTGTTTAGTAGTTACTTTTGCTCTCTAACTACAAATCAAGTAAGTCAACGATGTATGTGCAAATAATTTAAAATTGAATTTCCTTGTTTTTAAATAAAAGTAAATAATTTCGTTTTATAAGAAGACACACATACGTGAGAATGGAGCAGTTGGTTTCTGTACTGCTGTGTAGTTTGAATTAATCAATTATTTACTTTATTATTATACAGCTTTTCACTCTGAAAATTGTATATTAATCCTCTCGTATTTCCTACATTGCCAGCTGCCAATTGCTCTACGCATTCCGTCTGTTTATAGGCAAACGAGATGACGACTACGGTATGTCCCAGTGATTCACCAACAATCAGATATTACACTAACTCTGGGCTATATTTTGAACAGCACATGGCGAACCGCGCTACACGTTTCCGGGACAGTTAACGCCTAGACAGGTATGCCATCAACACGCTTCCCCTGACCTAGCAGCGCACTGTGACTCTGTGAGGGGAAACAAGAAACAACATGGCATACACGTGTACGTGATAGGCGAGGCAAGCAGTTATCATCAAGTATCTTGTCATCTGGAGTAGTTTCGACAAATCAGGGCTTTCCCTCCCCCCTCCCCGGGTGGTACGCAGTACCAGCCCTTTTTTAATCAAGAAAAGATATAAAACCGAACAAAAAGTACATCTGCAAGCTTCACAGTATAACGAACACAAACAAAACGTGAACGTTGCGGCTATGAAGCCTTCATCAGCATATACACAAATAAAACATTACCACACAAAATCACTAAGCTTAATATATTGAAGCGACCAGGTCTATTGTCTTGTCAGTAGACTGACGAGGCACACTGAACAGGAAAATACATATTTTTAGCACTAATGTAATAGACACACTTTGCCCTGAGTACCCGTACTTTTCTCAGACAATGTGTGTGGTGAGTGCCGCCATTTTGTTAATATTATTCACATCTCGAGACAATCTACATTCTTTGGTCATGTGATGAGAAGAAGAAAACTGCTGTACATCGTTACAATAGGAAAGTTGGAGGGGAGGAGTGAAAAGGAAGACCGAGAGAAAAGATGCTGGACAGTTTGACATCATGGCATCGAGCATCATCCGTGTTGTATCAGAGCTGATTGAAAGTACACAAGACAAAAGGTTGTGGGTAGACATGTCTACCAACGCCATGTGGCATGGACTTGAAGAAGAAGTTGTCATTAAAAAAAAATTTTAAATAAATAAATGTGTGCCGAGTTCACAAAGAATTATGGCTACAGTTTACTATTGCTTTCCTTGGGAATATTCGCTGCTGAAATCCGGTTCAGCTCTCACTGTCCGAAACCCATGGAAATGGGGGGTTGTTTTTACTTTAATAAACCGTCTTCCGCAGGAATCGAATAAAGTACTCGGGGACCATGAAATTGTGACATGCATCCACTAGCATTTAAACTTAACCATAGAGCCAGTACTAAACTTCTTCCTCTCTTACCGCTTTGGCTTTCGATGGAGATAAAATTAAAGTTTAACAAAATATTGTGTGTTTTTTTTTTTTTTACACTTAACAACACACTTCATTATTTTATTTTTTTGGTGGTGGAAGGGGGGGGGGGGCAAGAGAGTGCGAAGATTTTTAGAAGACAGAATAAATATATTTTTGAAGAAAAAAAATGAAAAGAGACATGACATGTTTTATTCACATTAAAGGCATAATAATAATCAAGTGCCTTGCCGACTGGCGTGGGCCATCATGCCTCTCCACAATCTGCGATCCGCAGCTGCTTGTGTATCAGTTCGTGTGTTGACACCCCTCCATAGCATGACAAAGTGTCGTCAAATATCTTCTCGCGCTGTCTTTCTCTGCCTCTCTTTCCACCGATCTTTCCAGTGGTCACAACATGTTCCATTTCCCCTCTCCTCTAACATGACCAAAAATGATGACTGTCTCTTTCTGATGCTTGTGATAAGTTTTCTCCGAGCATTCACCTCTTTCAAAACATCTGGGCTGCTCTTCTTAGCTGTCCAGGATATTCTAAGGATTCTTTTGTAAAACCACATCTCTAAGGCCTCAAGATATTGTTCGTTTTTTTTTTTTAAACTAATTGTCCAGGTTTCACAACTGTATGTTAAAACTGGCTTTATATAGCATGCGAGAATTATTTTCCTAACCTCCAGTGACATGGATTTATTGTATAAAATGTTATTCTTTTGATAAAATGCAGTTTTGGTGTCCTATTCTTTTCTTGATCTCTGTGATACATCTTCCATCGGATGTTATCCATGTGCATAGATACTTAAATGTATATACTTGTCCTAAAATAACGTCATTGACTTTTATTATAGATTTAGGCACTATTCTTTTCTTGGAAATCACAATTAAAGGCATAGCACTCATTTAAAAAAGGGGAGCCAGAGTTGTTCAAAAATGACCTTGGCTCCCATGTTTACCAAGCCTTAAACGAGTACCAGATAAAGTCTGGGAAGTAAAGGCGGCCAGCGCAAGTCCCGTTCTTAACGGGACAGACCCGTTTCTAGGAGTGTCCCAGCCGTCCCGTTGGTACTCCAAAGTAACACCAGTTGCCCGTTTTATTTTTAAAAAAATGGAATAAGGTCGAGGACTTGATATAAACTTATAGTTACCGTATATTTAGTATAGAACTGTTTGTGCAACTGTAGTTTATGGAACTAGAGAACTTTCCAGTAGCTTTCCAGTGTTTTATTCAAATTCAAATTCTCTTTCGTTGACCACTTTCAGCTAGGTCCGCTCGCATTTCTGCTCACTTTCCTTTCAGCTATATTTGTGGTGACGTTTTCTGGTCTCGATCTCATTTGGTTTTGGATTGTGTTCAATATTGTCGCTTTCTATTTGTTGTGGTTTCCGCTCTTGTTGTTGCTTTTGTAATTTGGCTGGCCCTGTGCTGCGCTCAAGATGATTGGATGTTGAATCGATTTATTGTGGTATTCCTTGGCTGTTTGTTGTTTCCGGGGAAAGTAAATTGCCTATCCTAATAAGGACCGGCGGTCGATTGACTTGGGCAGGTACTGATGGCAATACTGGTGAGGTCTGGTATTATTTGGTGATTCTCTCGTATCCTTGTACTACTCCTACATAGGGTTTCGGTAATTTTGGCCTTGGTTGTGTCGTATCTTAGTGTTTGAAGTAACGGTGTCGACCTCGTTTGATTTCAGGTTTTGGCTGTCGATATGGTTCCTCTGGTGATGACCAAAGAACATCATCATCTTGCAGTTCTGAGTTAAAGAAGTTCGGGTCCTCCAGCTCCCTGATGCGTTGGTTTATTCGGTTAGTAGTTTCTACCGGAAACTGTTTCAGTGTTTTAATCATATAAGTAATTAAATAGATTGTTTAAAAAAGTCCCTGAGTTTATTTATCCTCTTAACATTCACCGATTGTTCACTCCAGTGGAAAGTTCTAGCTGTTGGCAATAAATAAAAGTCTATTTATTTATTGTTCCTATTTGTTTATAATAAGAGTTTGTTAGGGTGGTAAGCGGCAAGGTACGAAACGGAAGTGATGGAGAAAGTCGACTGCTAACATCTCGATATCCCTGCCTGCGCCAACTTTACATACCTTCCATTTTTACAGCAGCCGGTAGATTAGACTATTTCATCTCATACAACATTTCGATTGACTTTTGTGGTCGAAGGACATTTCTTCTGCAATGGCAACCAGAGGAGGATTCAGACCAGAAGGTTCCGATGGTAGTGATCATTGGCACAGGGAGAGCATTGCATGGCAGTATAAAATAAGGTGAGCAAAAGAGGAAGACGAGTGAGCATCACAAATAAAAAAAAAGAAAGAAACATGTGAGCATGTATTTATAAGTATTTGAACTATATGCGAAGATAAATAAACACAGATAAGTTAGGGCATTACTGGCAACATGCGTTATAAGAGAAATTGAGGACTGTATGTTGACATTGTACTAACATTGTTGTTAGTATTACTATTAGTACTATTACTATTAACATTTAATAATGCGAATTGGTCTCAAGTAGACACTAGTGTGTCGGCCGCACTCACAAAACAGGTCAGGACACTTTTGTCCAGATACTGCGTTTAAGTTTAACTGCAGGTAGTTCAGTCAAATTTTAAATAGGAAGAATTGACTTTTAAACAAAAACAGATGGATAGAGTTTGAACAACAGAATCCAACGGTACCTATATATATATGGATTCATGCAGTGGACGGGTTTTTTTACTTTACATAATGATGATTAATTTCCACATAACATTAAACATTGGCTCAGTAGTCATGACCTGAGAGTGTGTTGGAAATGGGCAGATAGACTGGCTGATTCTGCACTGCCTAGTGAGGAACAGATGCATGACAAGTTAGATGTTGTAAGGGCCTTTGGGAGCGAGTGATCAGTGCAGATGAAGAAATAGATTATCACATTCTGAGGAGAATAGTGCTGCGAAAAGGATCTGGCTGACGATCCGCTTTCAAGAGGAGGGTGAAACAGATTTACCATCAGCAGTTACTGGTGCCGTTGAAATTGGAACTGTGCTTGCCGAGGACATCAGCACTGTTCCGAGGACGAGTGCTTATGGGAATGTCTCAAGTGCTGTAATGTTGATTCTTAATTCAGCATTAAAAAAGCCTACTTGGATGGTGGAAAATGTTCATGTTCTGACCCTGCCATATCTTGTGAGTTGATGAACTACATGACTGCACTGGACTAGCCATTTTGGAAAAGGGGGGGGGGGATTACAGGGGCACCTGGAAACTAGGAAGCAAATAATTAAATATGACAAGACAAAAATGAGTGAGAGCAGTATCCCACAAAACTACCGGCAATACTAACCTGGTCAGAAATTTCCATTACAAATTGGATGTGTTGGCCATAAGGTGCAAATACCACAGCCATGCTGTAAATGGGTACAGCACGGTTATATCCTCAGACGAACACAGACTAAGCATTCCTCATAACTATTGAAGCAATACTAGTGTTAACATTAATTGTAAACACAGTACATTTTCTTTCCAAAATGATGAAAACATAATTTACTCCATAAAAATAAAGGACCCTCTTGCATGCCGTTGGGCATATAGGGCTAGACCTATATTTTATAAACCAATCGGCACTCAGTGGGGGATGTGGTCAGAATCATGCCAGCTGACTTTACTTCCCTGGACTTTACCTGGTATCCTTTTAAGGCTGGGTCGACCTGGGAGCAAAGGCCATTATGAAAAAAGTCTGGCTCTGTTTGTATATGAAACCTTCAGATCCGCAGGTGAGTATCTAGCTGCTATGCCAGTGTGGCTCCCTAATTTACTTCTTAGAGCTGACAGAATGGAAAACAGCTTCTCCTCCATGGCAGAGCAGTATTTCCGTAAAACACAGGTTAGCTGGAGAGTTATAATGTTTTCCAACACATAACATGTTTTATGTCATTGATGTTTTCTTCTCTTCCCTGTAGCTCAATAAACAAGGGAAGGTTGAGGCTTGCCTTATTCCTCCACATACAAATTGGCTTGCTGATGTTTGGCCGCCTCTTGCCTGGTTTAGCAAGTGCCTTTGGATTCACTGTGGTCAGCCTTCGGCGGCTGGATCTGCCGCACCCAAGACCTTGGGAGTATGCGTGGCTGATCAGTCTGGTTGCTGCAGTGATTGGATGGCGCTCAACTCCTCACAATAACATATTCCTGCTGAAGCAGTTTATTTTAGGAGTTGTAGTGTTCGGCATATCACCTATTGTCTTTGGTTTTTTCGACCTGAGGAATGACATAATCTTGTATTTACAAGAAAGGAAGTACACATATGAGATGTTCAGCTTCCCAGCTGTTCTGCTGTGGAGTGCTTTTTTGTTGATTGCGCTGCAGCTGCACGCTTTCTCACTTTACTTTAGCTACGTGCTTCTGCGCGCATGGAGGCCCCGTGTCATAGAAAAAGCTAAACATAAATAACTTATTTAAATAATTAATAATTTATAGCGGCGTAAGCATGGCATTTTGTTCCTTATTGTGTGTGTTTTTGTGCAGTGGTAAATCCCAGATTCTTCATAACAGAATGTGAAAACGCATTTTTAAGGACAATTTTTAATTTTCAAATTGCTCAGTGTTTTAATTCTGAGGGAAAAATGTCAGCCACTTTGTGGAAAGAATGAACTGTGCTGAATGGTTTAGACTTTTCTAATTACCCTTTCTATTTTAGTTTTCTGATTTTGAGAAGTCTCAGGAATAGCATTAGGAATGACGGTATATAAATTAATTCAATTAATTATGTGCAGGCTGCAGAGATGTGGCTTTACGGACAGATGTTGAGAAAACCCTGAACAGCTAAAAAGAGTAATGAAAATATCTTGAAAGACATGGCTCACAAAGAGAGTTGATTACCCTTATCAGAAAGAGACAGTCTACATTCTTTGGTCACATCATGAGAAGGAGAAGGCTGGAGTACATTGTAGCAGTGGCAAAGTTAGAGGAGAAAAGAGGCAGAGGGAGCCCAAGAGAGAAGATGCTTGACAATTTGATATCATGGAATGGAGGATCATCTGTGTCAGTGTTGATTGAAAGTGCAAACGTTAGACGGCTGTATGTAGACATAATTACCAATGCCACATGGCATTGGCTATAAGAAGAAGACGTTAGTCAGAAGGCTGTTGATAATAATGACTACCAGTGCCACACGGCATAAACTATAAGTAGACAAAGTTACAGGGATCTCTGTGACAAAGTGTTTTAGCTATTTACCTCATGCTGTAAAGGTTATGGTTTTGATTTCAATTCCACCATTTGGTTTTTAAGTGCAGCAGCATGTGAAACCCCTGGAGATCTTTGTTGGAGCTACAGAGTTCATGATTTGTGCAATGCGGTCATGGGCAACCAGCTGCATTGCTGAAACAAGCCATATCGGGTAAAATGCTGTGCAAAAAATAAGTCAGACCTCTAATCTGTTGAACCTATGGGAAAAATGTAAATTAAAATTCTTTTTTATCATTTTGTGAGCTAGGTAGGAAGGGTATTAAGACATGTATTATGAAAAAAGTGAAATAATGAATACATAGTGTGGTAGATTACATACATACATGACTTCAATTTTTGTGAATTTGAAGGTACATGAAGTCAGTTTCTGTTATTTCTTGCCAAATGTGTGTGTTTTTATATCTGTAATTGCAATTCCTGATATCTGAGGTTACCATTTTTGTGTAGAAGGGGTGTTGGGAAATTAAAATTACTACAAGTGAGTATGTGTGTGTGGGGATAAGGGTATGACTGTATTTTCTCATCCCCCCCCTCCCTCCACCCCTTCCTCCTCTCTTTTTCACAGACTTATTACGTTTGACAGACACTGTTTAAATGCTATTTCTAGTATTCTGCACCACCTTATAGAAATATCAGTACACATTTTCAGAATGTGTATCTTTCTTTTAGGAGTGTTTTTTAACTATTTATTCAGATTGTTTACTCTGTTAACTGCCATTATTGTCCTTTTTTTTTCAGTGTATGCTTTCAGGGTATTTAAAGGAGTTTACTGTCTTTGCTGGCCTGTATTTACCACTTTTTAGGGCAGTGTATTGTGTGTGGAAGGGGAAAGGGGGGGGGGGGGGGGGTTTGAGCCTGAGTTTTTAGAGGCATATGACTAGGGCAGTCACTACTGACTGGAAATTAGGATTTAGATTTTGCCCCCACAGAAGAAAAAAAATCCACATTACTAAGGGTTCAAGCCTAGGTCTTTTGAATGAGAGCCCAGTTTGTTTTTTGAAATCTCTAGAAAATGTTAACCCCCTATTTTTGTTGTTGTTGTTGCAAACAAGAATAAAAAACAACACCATAAAACCCCCTCCTGCTTATCCAGGAAAAAAAGCATACTCTTGGTTTGTGTTATTTTGCTGTTTACTGCTTGTTTATATTTTGTTTTGTTTTGGTTTGTTTTCTTCACCATTGTTTTGGAATTAGTCACTTTTGTCAAACGATATGTTTTTGCTGTGTGACAGTAAATTATTCTGCTGTACGATTAACTAATATTGTTTGAAACCTATTTTGTGCTCTATTTTGTTGTTATTTTTTCCATCTCCTAATGGTCTGTTAAGAGAGGTAATGCCTTCTTGCCTTTCTGCTTGCTTTAACCTTAAAAACAGGGCTTTTTTCCTTCAGGAAAAAGAGGTGCGGGTACTCATCACGCAGCTTATGATGAAAGGTGCTGGTATACATAATGTCTGTTGCATTCGTGCTGAAAAATACGATGCTAGTGCTGTGTACCATTGCGTACCGTTCAGGGAAAAACCCAGCTAATAAACATTTTGCCAGTCCATCTTCAGGCCACTCTGTGTCTTAATGTGTTAGACAGCGGAGTGGATTACATTTGTACAGTTATCTGCTATTACCACACATGGTCATTGTCAACAATTCTTTGTTGAATCAAGTAACTTTGTGTTTCTATCCACTGACAGACTGATAAACAAATTCACATAGATTGATTGGGTACTCACAGATGCAACAGAAAGAAGCAGAGATAGAAAGACACATTAGACCGCTTAAAAGTCCAAACTTGTAGTTGCCATCCTGGGATAATTTAAGCGATCTATGGTTGTGCGCTTTTTCACTGTGGATCATAAACTGGGATTTCATCTCGAGGTCTCAGTGTTTGGTACCATTAGGAGTTTGATTATCTCTATATCTTGCCTCTCCTCTGAGCATCGATCAGTTGCCCCGGTGACTTCTGGCAGTACCTTCCTCTGGAGACAGTAATGATCTATGACACTTCTGCCTTATTCACTTGCACCCAGAGGGTTCTGGCCACATCTAGCTTATCATGCATCAGTTCACCATCCAGTGGCCAGAACAATCCAATCTGTCTGCTTGTTCGTTTCCTTACATGACCAGGAGAAAAGATCTAAAGAGTGCTAACTAGCTGGGACCTCTGAAGTGATTCTTGCTGCACAGAGGATGCCTATGTCCACCGTGTGCAGCATGCTTTGTACATCACAACATGTGTAAGAAAGTCATTTGTAAGGTCCATTTTATTGGAGATGTAGTTTTTGAACATAATCTTAAGAGTATTGTGGGAACAGAAGCAAACATATTTGAAGCATTGGTAGCTACAGGAATTATTGATCACACACTTCAAAATTCATTTAGCAGAATAGTAAAATAGCCTTATTTTTTAAAATACTAGACAAGAGAATTGAGCTGAATCAGTTCACAGGTAAAATATAATAGAAAAGGATGGAGAGAAAGGCAACTGCAGGAAATCCCCTCCCTGGCACAACACTCATTCCCTGTCCTCGCTGTCCAAGAACTTTTCGGGCCCACATCGGCCTTATCAGTATTTTCGTACTCATACTTGGGGAAAATGAGTGGTCATCATCATCTTGATAGACAACACACACATAATATAAGCAACATCATCTTCACGAATAACTGTTTATATAAGAATGTTTTCTTCTGATGTTGGTTCAGAAACGGGCTGATGTTACAGCATAATAATAACAAAGATTTATTTCTTTAATTTTTAAGAATTAAAACAACAGTCATGTTGTTTAACGTAACTAAATAGGGTTTGCTGAAATCCAGTGTGTTGGGTCAAGAAGCATAGATATTGCAGCCTAGCTGTAAACCACAATACAATTAGCCAACCACCCTTTTAAGGGTTTATACAGAAGAAGAAAAGAAAAGGAAACCTTCTTTGTTTTCAAATATAATTTCATGTTATTTGCTTGCTGATGTTAAAGTGTCATAAAATCTTCCTTCTTCAGTTAGTAAGATTGTGAAATTATAGTGACATTTTTCTTTTTAATCATTCTTCAGTTAGTAAGATTGTGAAATTATAGTGACATTTTTCTTTTTAATCATTCTTCAGTTAGTAAGATTGTGAAATTATAGTGACATTTTTCTTTTTATTCATTCTTCAGTTAGTAAGATTGTGAAATTATAGTGACATTTTTTTTTTAATCATTCTTCAGTTAGTAAGATTGTGAAATTATAGTGACATTTTTCTTTTTAATCATTCTTCAGTTAGTAAGATTGTGAAATTATAGTGACATTTTTCTTTTTAATCATTCTTCAGTTAGTAAGATTGTGATATTATAGTGACGTCTTTATTTATAATCAGGCATATCAAACATCATTTCTTATTGCACTTCAGCGTTATTATTCGTCATCAAAAGCCATATATTATTTCTTAAGTCTTCTCCTTCTTGCAGCTAACACCACACTTGTGAATATTTATTGGGAAAGATACCATAACCTTTTAGCCAGTGTATGAATATGGTTTTATGTTTCATTATGAGTACATATATATTCATTTGTTCATTATTATTGCATTACTATACTGGTTTCTCTACAAACCTATGTTAACCCTGTCACCCGTATAATTTTTTTTTTAAAGGCAAGAACCCTTTGGGTCTCTCTCTTCCCCCCCCCCCCCTTTCCCCCCCAAAAAAAAATCTTACCATTTTGCATAGATCACTAATAAATTTAAAAAAAAAAAATATTTATTTATCTGTTTTGAAATCAGATTCTTGAAGTGCATACATTTATTTAAATGAAGTAACCAATAAAAAAGAACTAAGTAAAGCATTAAAAAGGCTACATTCCATACCCCTAAAATACATAGCACATGTATGGGTGACTCATACCATGACCCTGTGAATTCTATCACTGAGGCTGCAGAGAAAATTTTATGTCAGCAAGGCTTCAAAATAGCTATTTTGCTCACATACCCATCTTGGCTTTAAAATAGCCATTTGGCTCAAAGACCCATCTCACCTCCCCCCCACCTTCCTCCATTGCTGGTTTTTATTTTTAGTAGATATATTCATATCGTAACTCTTAAATACTGAGCAGGCAAGACACAACCAGCGGGGTTAATTATAGGTTTCATTAACACAACACTGTAGAAAAGTTGCCTAGGTGACTGCAAGAAATTGGACCCAACTAGAAGTATCACTTTTATGACTTCTCGG